AGAAATGGATGGAGTGCTGGAAACTATGAACATTCACTCAGAAGAGAGAATTTATTATTGTTATTTTTGTATATTTCCCTTTTACCTCCTTCAACTTTCTCCCTCCCTCCCTTCCTTTAGGTGGCTGAACCAAAATTACATATGAATGGTATTAAATAGCTCGTTATACGAGTACAACTTACCATGGGATCTCTCCATGGGGACATAGGCTTTTGGGTGAAATGAACCCATACGGAAAAACATCCAGACAGATTTCAGGAGGGGACCAAAGGAAGGCATCTGAGCCTTCCTGCTTTAGCTAGTGTTCTCCAAGGTTAAAAAAATGCTTTATAACATGGCTATGAGATACTTTATAACATGGCTATTTTCAGACAACCCTTCTTAAGATGGATTCAGATCTAGGGAAAACCTGTACTGTGATGGAAAATAGGGAAGGATGCCTCCTTATTCCCAGAAACTTTGGGAAATTTTTTTAAATTTTTGAGTCTAGTTGATGGCAGCAATGTGAGCGCTCATTTGAAACCCTTCCATTCACGAAGCAGCAATTTCACCAAGAGGTAGGTGGTAGGTAGGGAAGGACAGGGCATCATGTTCCAGGAGGGATAAAGAGGAGAGGGTGGACTGAAGGACCAACGGAGGAACACCCACCTGGACGCCATCTTTGAGCTCAACAACACTTGACAATAAGGACTGGATTCTTCTAGGGCTTATGTGGCAGCTGCAGAAAGCATAAAGCCAGCAACTATGTGGACAGGGACAGGTATGGTTTATATCTGATGGGTGTCGGTCCAAATAGGAGCTAGGTGTCTAAAAAGTTGGTCATCATTTACTTTTTATTTTTTAAAGTTCAGATAGTCTTTCTATCGTCATGTTTTGTTTCTTTTTTAATTTCTTTTCCTGTCTCAGTATATTTGCTTTTTATTACATCATGATTTCAGCTTTCATCTTTGTTCCACAGATCCAGGTGTTCCTGAATTTTATGGAACACAAAGTAGACGTTCCCTAAAGTTTACTTCTGTTGCCGTTAGTACATTTTATTTTCAAAAGTGAGTCTTTTCTCTGCATTTTGAGCGCTGTATTCTCTGCATTCTTTAATGCTCACTCTTTTTGTTGATATATGTATTTTTTCTGTTTAGTTGTTCTTGAATAAAGAGAGGTGAATGCCAGCTGGGTGTTCTCCATAAACACAGTGACTGTGTTCTAGGTTTCCTTTATGTCTGCCAGGGTGTTGATAGAATCTTTTGCTCATCACATAAGCCAGAGAAACGGGAGTAGATATGAATTTCTAGTATGTCGTATGCATCCTAACGGTACTTTTTTCTGTATTATTTCTTCTCTGGATTTGTTGAAGCCGCTGGGTTATGGGTTTGCTTCTGTTTACAACTTTCTGTCAGGGCAGACCTTCACATGTGGCTGTGCCCATGTCTGCCTGGGACTACTGGTGACTACATTAGGATGGAGCCCCATACTGTTGATTCTCTGTTACTTGTGGCACTGAGTCTGGGACTTTTCAGGGGAGATGGTTGTCAGTGCTCTGACCTGAACTGTCGAGTGGGATTCCAGGTGATGCATTCCCTGGGAGCCTCGCTCCTGCTTTGGCCTAGGGCCCTGGCTGCCAGATTCCAGGATGGTATGAAGCTCTTCTAGACTTGCTTACCCCGATATTGTGCTTTCCCAGGAGTGGGAATCATTAATAATCATGGATTCAAAGTGATATTCTATATGATGTTCTTGATCATTTCAATTGTTTTTGACTCATTATAATTGGTTTTTAGTTCATGAAAGTGATGTAGGAAGCCCTTCTACTAGGAATAGGAGCTTCTTTTAGGAAAAGAAGTGTCAGGCATTTTCATATTTACTTGACCTTGCATAATTAGCATTATATTTCATCTGCCACTTTTAAAAAAATCTTTTGAAACTACTTGCCTATTTTGTAAAGACAGGCTTCATTAAATCAAGGTCACGAATCCACAGTCCATTTAATGGGAGACCCAGGAATCTACTCCCACCCTTGAAAGATCACTATCCTAGAATATGCCTTCAAGTTTTTTGTTTTTGTTTTTTGGAAAATCATATTAATGATGAAATTTTGAACTTGTCCACACCTGAGAATATATTTGTTGGCATTTCTACTAAATATAGATCTAGGCATAGATATTTTAAATTACACCACATTATTCTCAAAAAATGGTATTACTGTTAAATGGCTTTCGGGTGTCTGGCATGGTAGAATTCTATGGCCAACTTACATTTCTGTTACTTTGTATGTCATATATTTTATTTTCTAAGACTTGCAAGTTCTTTTCTCTATTCTTTGAAATAAAAAATTACAACAGCATATGTTTGATGTTTTTATGTATTTTTTTTTCTGGTTTTATCTGATCCTTTTTCATCTGCTTATAAAGATTTTTCTTCAGTCTAGGAAAACTTATTTGATTAAAGCTGCTTGAGTTTGTTTATTTCTTATGGAAGCCCTATTACAGGTGGACAGGATCATCTGGTTCTTATTTCTATTAGTCTTAGATTTTGCCTAGTCATTTTTTACTTTTTGTCATTTTCCTCTTAGGTTTTGAGAATTGACATGGGTCCTATTAGAGAGTCATGTCAATTCCCGGTAGAATCTTCAAGCCCCAAATGAAGGGAGAAAATTAAAAAATTCTTAAATTTACCCTCATTTTACTTTGCCAGTTGAGAGTCCAGACAGCTTGGGGGTAGTTGGGCCCCTGGAGGTGAGAGTCAAAATTAGAGGCAAGCCTAGCCAGGAATGTGTTTTGCTAAAGAGCTTCCAATCCTTATTTGGAATAGCTCTCAGGGCTCACAGCTACAATCTCCCCATTCTTTGGCAGACTGGCTGTCCACTCTGTGTGAGTGACTGGTAAGCCCTTCCATGCCAACTCCCTGTCCTGCTGCCCCTGAAACCCAGAACACTTCCTGATGGGAGCCACAGGGCTGATCCTCACCTCCAGGCTGACAGAGGCCTCTGCTGGTTTCCCTGTTACATGCTAGAGATTCACAAGTTAGGTAGTGACCACCCTCAGTCTTATTTCTATGGTATTTTTTTTTTTTTAAGATTTTATTTATTTATTTGAGAGAGAGAATGAGAGATAGAGAGCACGAGAGGGAAGAGGGTCAGAGGGAGAGGCAGGCTCCCCACTGAGCAGGGACCCCGATGTGGGACTCAATCCCGGGACTCCAGGATCATGACCTGAGCCGAAGGCAGTCGCTTAACCAACTGAGCCACCCAGGCGCCCTATTTCTATGGTATTTTACATCGTTGAAATTCCTTGGAATTTCTTTTGTATGGCTGATCCTACTGTTGAAGGTTGATCCAGAGTTTTTCCTCAATATTTATTGCTGATCATTTTCATGGCGATCTGGAGGGGAGTAGTTTACACCTTGCCAGGAAGTGAACTACTCTCTCTTATGATGGCAAATCTTGAGGATATTTTGAAGTCAGGAAAGTGGAAACAGCCTTGGGAGATGGAGACTTGATACTAATCTTATGTATATTGCTAGGATGTTTCCCATCTGGTTGCCTGTGATGATCAAGGTCACTGAATAACAACAATGACAATAATGGTAATAATTGCCTTTATAAAAACAACCAGGAAAGGGGAGATGTTGGTCAAAGAGTATAGACTTTTAGTTTTAAGATGAAAAGGTTCTGGGGATCTGATGTGTTTTGGTGATTATAGCATGGTGATTATAGTTAGCAGGTTACTAGTTTCAAGTATTGCATACTTGAAAGTTGCTAAGAGTAAATCTTAAATGTTCTCGCCATGAAAAAAGTTATAATTGTATGAGGTATTGAATGTGTTAACTAACCTTATTGTGGTAAGCATTTTGAAATATATATGTGTATCAAATCACTGTGTTGTACACCTTACACAATGTGATATGTTAATTATATTAAATAAGGCTAGAAAAAACCCACATGGTTGATGTGAATATATTATGATTTAATCTTTATATCAACTGAGAAAATTTGGTGGTTGGATCTCCATCTTTTAGCTGACACTCAGAGAAGTTAAATATCTTGCCTGGTATTACATAGCTAATATGTTGTGATGTGGGGCTGAAAACCAGGGTTGTCCTCAAAGCTTCTGTTCTTTCCTTTGCTGGCTGTCAAACGGCCTGAGGAGTTGTCCAACCTCCACATCTCTGGTATTTACAGTGTTCTCAGTTACTGGACTTGGATCATCTCTTGTCATTTTATTGCTCTCATATATACTAACCCCTTCTCTGTGGGTAGTGTTGATATAAATAAGATAGCCTATCTTATCATTTCTCTTACACTCTCTGGAACACTTGACTAGCAGGGGGGGATGATCTTGTCTTTAATACTTTGGTTTACTATCCAGCCTTTCTGTCTCTCTCTCTCTCTTCTTTTTTTCCTTAAAGCTGGAGTATTTATCTGCCCCTAGAGGAATTCCTCCTGTCCTGTAAAATAGTTTATCTTCGGTATTCCTTATGTGGCCCTCTATGGGTATTTCGGTGCTCTGAATCTCCTCACCTGTCTTAGAATACCCATTGACTATGAGGTTGCTCCTGCAGGCTCATGAGGCTGGTCACTGCTGAATGAACATAGTGTAATCTTTAACATGGCAGAATCTCAAGTGGCATTTTGTGATGTTGGTGCTGCTCATGCTTTACTACATCCAATTAGAACAAAAAAAATTCAAATTAGAGAAGGAGCAAAATCATTGCTAATTTAGGGAACTCCTAGAAAGATAAAAGACAGCTAAAAAGTCTTGGGGGTGGTCTGTGCCTGGTGGATGAGAACATTTTTGTTCTTGCTTCACAATGGCAAAAATGTATGTATTTATTTTATAACTTGAGAAATACCAGTATTTCTCAGCTCCCTCATTAGATTTGTATTCTCCTTCCAGGTAAACTGGAATAAATAAAAACATTCTATGGCTGTAAAATGTGTCGCTGTAATTGTAGGATTATTCTTTGTTCCCTCTATTCTAATTTAATCGTGTCTTTTTCCCCCCTAGGTTACGGTCTTTGGTCAAACAGTTAGAGAGAGGCGAGGCTTCGGTGGTAGATCTTAAGAAGAATTTGGAATATGCAGCCACAGTACTCGAATCTGTGTACATTGATGAAACCAGGTAAGCTAAACATGACAAGAAGTGAGTACACTGAGGGTCAGTTCTCTGTTATGTGGCTTTTCTGAAATGTCTCCCTTGGCCTGTAGTGGGGTAGTGCTCAAATGACGGATGACAGAGCTTTCGTTTCTACAAAACGAAATTTGGACCTCTCCTAGCCTCTGTGCCTCCTCATCTGAGAAAGGAGCTAACTGAACTTCTTTCACATGGCCATTATGATAATGGAGTGAGATAATGTAAGAGGAGAAAAAGTGATTTTTAAAAATATGGTAAGATTCCTTATCAAGTGTAGAGTTCCACTGTAATAATTGCACACTGTTAGCCTCAGCCTAAAAGTTATTTTCATGTGTTAATTCACATTGTCTTTAAGTGGCGGTTCCTGAAGTGACGATAAAGCATTTATCCTCTTAAGGACCCAGAATTCCTCCTGCAGTCTTGCGTGTTATCAATTTTTTTAATAGACTCTTTCCACCTGAATTATCCAAACGTATTAAAGCACTTCCTGTCAGCAAATGCATTTGAAAGTAGCAAAAGAGCTTTTCTTTTGAAAGATGTTGACCTGGTGAATTTGAAAGACTTTTTTTCTCTTTCCTAATTCAGGCTCCTCTGTCAGTCTTAACTTCTCTATGCCAGATTCCAATCTGAAAGGATTTCCCAGTAATCTAAGAATTAGTATGCATGTGGTTTAGTTTTTGGTGACTTGCTTGGTTCCTAATTTAAGGAAATTTGATATCATAGTTTTTTCCAAATGTTACATTTACTCCCCTGCCCCCCAATTGATGTGTCTACAGGAAAAAAAAAATCTTTTTTTAAACTTTTTATTGATACCTGTTTACACTGCTTATTTTTAGTAGGGCTTAATATAAGTATAAAATACAATTTTATTTTAAGTTATTATTATTTATTTTCTCTTCTGGTGGTCTGACCTATGAACAAGTTTGAAAAATCAGCCAAGCACATCTTACAGATGACTTAAATCACTGAGCTCAAATAAAGAACTGCATTATTTTGGAAATTTTGCTTGAATTTAGAATTTATACTTCTGTAATGTTCTATCAAACTAGAAGGAATATCAGTTGATACCATTTTGGTTTATTACTTCAGAGGACTGGGTTGATGTGATTTGGGTAATATTTTACAGTCTTTTTCTTTTTTAAATTTTTAATTTTTTAAAAAATTATTTTTAGGGGCGCCTGGGTGGCTTAGTCGTTAAGCGTCTGCCTTCGGCTCAGGTCATGATCTCAGTGTCCTGGGATTGAGCCCCCCATCAGGCTCCCTGCTCAGCGGGAAGCCTGCTTCTCCCTCTCCCACTCCCCCTGCTTGTGTTTCCTCCCTCACTGTCTCTCTCTGTCAAATAAATAAATAAAATCTTTAAAAAAAATTATTTTTATTTGATTTTATCTTAAATTTATTTATTTTTAAAGATTTTTATTCATTCATTTGAGAGAGAGAGAATGAGAGGGAGAGCACATGAGAGGGGGGAAGTTCAGAGGGAGAAGCAGATCACCCGCAAGCAGGGAGCCCAATGCAGGACTCAGTCCAGGGACTCCAGGATCATGACCTGAGCCGAAGGCAGTCGCCTAACCAACTGAGCCACCCAGGCGCCCTTAAATTTATTTTTATTAAAGATTTATTTTATTTATTTATAACTGATGTATAACCTTGTGTAACTTTAAGTTGTACAGTGTGGTGATTTAATGCACTTATATATTGTAATATGATTACCACCAGAGCGTTAGCTAACACCTCTATAATGCCACAGAATCTTCATTACTTTTTTGTGCTGGGAACAATTAAGACCTAGTCTCTTAGCAACTTTGAAGTTTGTGATGCAATATTGTTGTCTATAGCAAAGTCTTTAAATGTTCTTTTTTTTTTAAACACAAAATAATGCCACATGGTCCATCTATGAAAACCTCCCTGTGAATGCATTTTTAAATGGAAGATTTAGATCCCATTCAAATTCCACAAACCTAGGAATAAAGATACTGGGTGCTCTTAGAGCCTGAGATGGAGCATTTTTTACTTTCTCTGATTTCTTTGTTTCTTTGTGCAGTCTGGTAGAGAGAACCATCCTGAAACATAATGGTGAGCTTTTACAAGCCTTACCAAAAAGGTGCTGTATTTTTTGTGGCCATTTTTATTTTGGTTTCTTTGTATCTGTGGAGGCAGGTGGGGTGGAAAGAGGGAGCAGCCATTGTGAACAGAGAGCTCTAACTTCAGATGTAATCTCAGTGTCCTGGTTGTGTTTCTTGTGTTCAGGCGACTCCTGGATACGGAGGATGAACTCAGTGACATTCAGTCAGATGCAGTGCCTTCTGAGGTCCGAGACTGGCTGGCCTCCACCTTCACGAGGCAGATGGGGATGATGCTCAGAAGGAGCGAGGAGAAGCCACGGTTCAAGAGCATCGTCCATGCAGTACAGGCTGGGATATTTGTGGAGAGGTAAAGATGGCTATCAGTCAGTGACCAAAGCAGCAAAAGGGACACCAGTTTCCAATAACTGGAAGCTTTGCTTTGATGTAATTTTTGTATCTGTATAAACACTGAAAATTCTGAATTTTCAGAATGGAAATAGATAGTCTTGAAGGAGAGATTGCTAAAACATATTTCTTTAATCTTTGTAGCATCATTAGGACAAGACTTTGCCTTTGCTCAGAATTCTTTTTGTTAACTAGAAAAGATTTGGTTTAAGTTCAGTCTCCCATTTTTTAAAAAAGGACATCATCTAATCCATCATCCTTTGACATATGTGGAACAGGGCAGGGATGCCTTGAGGTTGTTGACCCGGCGGGGGGACAGTTCATTTAAAGGCTTTGAGTTCCCCATGACGCTTTCCAATTTTGTTAGCCATTTTGCTCTTTAATTAAATTGCCCCCTTCCCCAGAAATAGATTCCAGAAATTGATTTATTCTTCCTACAATCCTTATTACACAAATCAATTTATTCTTCCTATAATCCTTATTGCACATCTACAGGTTTTAGAAATGCCACATTCAGTTCAAAGTTCACCTGGGACATTTCCCTTCTTGTTTTTGACAGTTCTAAAGAACAAGCTCTTCCAAATGGGTTGCCCATAGGAGTTCCTCATTCAGGTTAAAGTACTACTTTGCATACTATTTATGCTGTACTATAATTCACTTCTAGTAGAAGAAGTGACCCATTTTAATAATTGAATTTACAACTTGGGGCCCATCGATTAATTTTTTTTGGTTTCCAATAATTCATGTATTTGGGATTGCTTTAATTTCTCTTGAATGTAACCCTTTCTTAGGTCACTTGAATGACTATGAGAAAGGTTATAAAAAAACTGTTATGTTTCTTGGTTCACCCAGTGACATGACTTCTCATATTTGTCAGTGGTTAGTGTAAGTCTGTGGCTTGCTAATTCTTTTTCATAAGATAAAATATTGCATTTTTCCCCTCTGACTTTGCCAGAATGTATAGACGAACATCCAACATGGTTGGACTGAGCTACCCACCAGCTGTTATTGAAGCCTTAAAGGTAATACCAGAGAAAAGGTCTGACAGTGTACATGGTATCTTATAAAAAGTAGTTACATTTGTTGTTAGAAAATAAGAGGCTTTCATTTATGGTTCACTTACAGGTTTCCCAGTCATCCCTGACTTATTTCTTTCATTATTTTTTACTTATCTGTTGTTACAGTATCATGATCTTTTTGCCTTTGACTTGATTTTTTTTTTTTTTAATCAAACTGTGAGTCTCATTTCTTTCTACATCACCATCAGGGGGATCTTTGGTGATTGTAGTTGTATCATTATCTGATTATCTACTCTAAGTCCATTTTGTAGATGAAGAAACTGAGACTTAGTGAGATTTTTAAAAAGATACAGTTAGTTAATTAGAGCCAGAAGAACTACAGTGTGATACCAGAGTTCGAATCACATAGTAAGCTCTCAGTAACATTTTACTGCCTGAATGTGTGTCCCCAGAACCTATATATCCTACTGTTTACCCAAGACTCTCACAGAGCCCTAAAGTTCAATGGGAAGTTACATAGGTGTTTGAGTTACAATGAGCTAAATCTTGCAGAACTACTCCCACTCAGGCAAGTTCTTAGAATTGTATAGAATATTCTCTAAGAGCCTCAAAGGGGATTCTTATGTATGTGTCAGTTCAGATCCACTGGTTTAAAGCCATCCTGGCTGTGCTAAAGCTGATTTGGCTTCTGGATTTGAGGGTGGGGCTGTGCTAAGGGCCAGGATCACTTGGCTGGTTTGACATTGCATGATATCTATACACAGAATCGAGTCATCCATTTGCTCAGGGACATCCTAGCATACTGACTATTTTGTGTGTGTGTGTTAAGATTTATTTATTTATTTTAGAGAAAGAGAGAGAGCATAAGCAGGAGGGACAGAGGGAGAGGGAGAGGGAGAGAGAACCTCAAACAGACTCCCTGCTGAGTGCAGAGCCCGACGTGTGGCTCAATCCCATGACCCTGGGATCATTACTTGAGCCAAAACCAAGAGTAGGACACTTAACCAACTGTGCAACCCAGGTTCCCCATTCTGACTATTGTTATGGCTATCGGTTGTCTATCTCTGAAACCTGAAACATGTATTACCTGATGATGTTTTCAGAAGTTAACTTAAATTACCTACTCATGGAATCAGGCATGGGAGAGCTTCATGATCAACTTAATGTCAAGAAAGACTTTTAGGGCCATTTTGATTTTGTATTTCAGTGTCTTTCTCTTGCCTCAAAGACATTCACTAGTTGAATTTGTGAGACCCTATATTCAGATTCTCAGTTGTCCATTTTCTTTCTCTCTCTTTTTTAAACTACCTTTATTTTTTTTTTTAAGATTTTATTTATTTATTTGAGACAGAGAGAGAGAGCAGGGTAAAGGCAGAGGGAGAAGCAGATTCCCCACTGAGCAGGGAGCCCAACGTGGGACTTGATCCTGGGACTCCAGGATCATGACCATAGCCAAAGACAGGCCCTTGACCGACTGAGCCACCCAGGCCCCCATCCATTTTCTGTCTCTTAACTCATGCTAAGAACAGGAAAGATGCTCAAGAAGGATGCAGCAAGAAGATACATGTTTCCTCTCGCTCCTGTTTGGTCTCTCCACCAGTGCCCAGTGCACCCAGTGTAATTTACAGCCACATTTCCCATGTAATCAGTGAAATCACGGCATGAGATCTGATGTTTCATAACACCCACTAGGAAGCTGCATTGATATTCATAACCGAACCTGAAACATTCAATGAAATCTTAGGGACATTAAAAGAATCCTTTCTATTTAATTTCTTCTCTTATCACAAACATAAATACAGATGGTTATACCAGTATTAAGAAATTTATAAAAATATTTCCTCTAGACTGGAGAATCTTTTCTATGCAAAATAACTGAAGAAAATGTGGAACATCCTAGGATGTGTATGAATTGTTATTTCATGCTTAGGGAAAAGTCATTCTCAGAGGCACACATGTTGTCTTTCTGAGGGGAAAGGAACCTAGATGATTCAGACCAGGAATGAGTGCTAACTCTCCAAACTGCTACCCTTCTGCACAATTATTGAGGGTAATATGCATAAGGCTAGAGCTGCACTTTCTCTTGATCCTGTCCCCTATTTACTAGGGGAGTTTAAGATCTTTTTACAGTGTAATATTTCCCCACCCCTCCCTAGACTCTGGTTTAATCTGCAGTGGATTGAAGATGAGTTGGCGGGATCACACAGATATTTTCTTTTTTTAGGTAGTACCTGTTGAAAAATGGTTTTTTTCTATTACACTGCCAGCAGTTTACATGGAATGGCCAATACTTTCTTCTATTATAGGAAATTTCTCCCAAAACTGAGAGAATACAATTCAATAAAATAACCGTCATGCCATGGTCATGTTAACCTTTGTGATTAATGTAAGAACATGGCACGAAATCACATTAAGTAAGAGAATAATTAACCGCCACCGATCTCTAAATTTGACATATGTTGCTCTTTTGTTCTTTTAATTTTTTCCATCCAATATATGCCAGCTTCTGATTTGGGGAGTTTTCTCTCTAGGCTTTTGAGGTGGGGTTATTGGAATTGTAGAAGTGTATTATTGTTTAGAAGGCGTCTGTTGTGTAACTTAGGAAGGGATACCCTTGGTAGACTCTAGGTTTAAAGTGGGAGGAAGAGAGGCTTCCATTACTTTAGACTCATAGGAAGTTCCTGAAGTTTTTCCTCGGGAATGGGCCTTGGGCCATGTTTGGTAAGAAAGGCTTAAGATGGTTAAAGACAGTTAAACTAGGTGCTTGTTAAAAATGCAGATTCTAGGTCCCAGGCCAGGATTCTGCAAGTCCCTCAGCTGAGAATCAGCATTTTTTTCCTGAGCACCCCAGGGGGTTCTGAAGAACATGAAAATTTGAGAATCACAGCTAAGTCCCTTTTAAAAATGAGTAACGGGAGAGAACATCCCACTGACTATTCACACTAATCCTCCTGTTTCTCTAAGTTCTAATAATCTGAATAAATCATGACTTCTTACTGTGATTGTTTCTGTATTTTCAGTGATAGCCTTTCTCTTTTTTATTCATTCTGGAGAATAGGAGTGAAAATTGCAGACATGACAAAATGTTTTCTCACCTATTGAGTTGTCACTGGACTTTTCCTTAGGACTAATGGATGTCATGACAATGTCAATTATAGTAGCTAAGGTGAAGCTTTAGGTCTTGGGTTAATCTTAAATGGCCCCACTATCTATGGCTTAGGCCCTATTGGGGTATTTAGGGCATGAGGCCTGGCTCACAGCATATATTCATTGAGTTTACAGTCTCCTCTGTTGACAATGATATCACTGTTGACAATGATGCCAGTGGGGTTATTACCTGGTTCTGCTACCAAATGGCATTAGACGCTTCCTTTCATCTCTCTGAGGTAGCCATCTGTAAAAGTGGGGAAAGTAACACCTATTTCTAGGGTTGTGAGGATTAGCAAATGTCTATAAACACTTCTCACTGTGCCTGGCACAGAAAATGTGCTCAGCTTATAGCAATTTCTTTAGTTGTTATAATGGAGGAGAAATGTTAGAAGGCTGAGGTGAGGTTACCACTAAGTGTCAACTTTTTGGAAAAGTTTGGTTTTTCCTATATATACAATTCAGTTTTCCTGTGCCCTGGTGTCCTTCAGGAAGACCCTTGTTGGCCTTGGGATGGTCTTTGGTCTTTGGGATGTTTGAGGAGGGACAGGGTGAGATAGATGGCTGATGTTAGAATGCATTGAGGGCTGAGGTGAGAGCCACTCAGGCCAGCAGTTCCAGAAGAGTCTCTTCCAGGGAACCATCTGACTTTTCCTGGACTCAGTGTGGTCTCACTTGTGTCCTTATGTGGTCTCACATGTGTCTGCTTATGACAGCACACTTTCTATAACTACTGAAAGTGAAACTCTTTTTTTTTTAAGATTTTATTTATTTATTTTTCAGAGAGAGAGAGAGCAGGGGGAGTGGCAGGCAGAGGGAGAAGCAGGCTCTCTGCTGAGCAAGGAGCCCAATGTGGGACTTGATCCCAGGACCCTGGGATCATGACCTGAGCTGAAGGCACACGCTTAACCGACTGAGCCACCCAGGTGCCCCTGAAAGTGAAGCTCTTGACACAAGAAACCAAATGACTGTTGCTTTGGCTCTTGCTTAACCACACCTTTGTTTACTACATCCACAAGTATCTGGTTGTAAGTCAAAGACACATCAGACAATGTTTACATATATTTTGGGGTAGCTATTTATAGACAAATAAGGCTTTGAACGTCAAGACTGATGTGTGAGGGTGCTTAGCTCTTAGTTTTACTTTTTTTGGTAAAGTGACTTACAGATTTGAGGACTAGGTTCTCAGATCAGTGCCTCCAGAAGTGGTAGCGTTTTTCTCTTTCATGAAATGAAGTCTTTCTCTGTGATTTTAGCTCAGCAGTTTGAACTGAAGGGACACATGATTTGTATTCTGTATCACACATGTTTCTGAATACTTTTAAGCAGGTTAACATTCTCAACTGTGGACTAAGAGGAAGTCAGTAGGTAATAGTAAGGGACTGGGGAGAAGTTTGGAGTAGGGAAGCACCTTAGGTTGTCATGAAGTGAAATAAACATTTGAAATTCAGCAGTGGTAGTGACAGGCTTAATGGAAAGGGCCTGAGCTTAGGCATCTATTGACCATGTTTGTGTCCTGGTCCCACTTGTGTCCCTAGCACTTCACTTGTGATGGATCTTAGAGAAATTAACTTCTCAGTTTTCTCATCAGAAAGATGTGACTAATAATACCTGCCACTTAGAGTTGTTTTCAGGATACATTATGTATTTATCACTGATCACAACACCTCGCATATGGTAGGCACTCAATAAATTATAGCTGTTGTTATAAGTAGTAAGACTATTTAATTATTTTATCAGTAAATGCTATGCAGGTCTGCCAAGTTGGGAAAAGTTTGAGGGCAGAAATGGTGTTAGAGTCTTGGGCTGTGAAATCCTGGGTGAAGATTGCAGGGCGACTCCCCAAGGGGAGATGGGTAGCTGTATGAGTGGCTATGGACTAATGCAGTCTTTCTCCCTGCCCTGCCGTGCAGGATGTGGACAAGTGGTCCTTTGATGTCTTTTCCCTCAATGAGGCCAGCGGGGATCATGCACTGAAATTCATTTTCTATGAATTACTCACACGTTATGATCTGATCAGCCGTTTCAAGGTCAGTGCCTACTTTTAAAAAATGCATGCATTTGTCCATTTTTTCTTTTTTAAAGATTTTATTTATTTATTTTAGAGAGAGAGAGAGAGTGAGCGAGAGAGCAGGAGTTGGTGGGGGTGGGGAGGCAGAAGCAGACTACCCCCTGAGCAGGGAGCCCAATCGGGGGCTCGATCCGGGGACTCCAGGATCATGGTCTGAGCCGAAGGCAGGTGCCCAGATGCTTCACATTTGTCCATCCTTCCATGACTTTTGGGGTAAGACCAAGATCTTCCTTCCATGACTTTTGAGCTAAGACAATCCTTTTAATATAGACTGAACACTGCTATAGGTGACTTGGGAAGATTCATCCAGACAGCCGCTGCCCTGAACTCCGTGGTGGTGGGAACTTTTCCTTAAGCCCTTGCTGGGTGGGGCTCATAGCAGGCGAGAGAGGCTGGAACCACCCAGTTGATCCCAGTCTTCCTAGAAGTTCAGCCCGAAGTGTGGACTAGCGGAACTCCCGAACGGCTCTGCCCGCAGATCTCATTTCAGCCTGATTTCGCGTACTGTCAATCGCTGCTGGCATGGAGACAGTAATGGAGACAGAGTGTGCATCCACTGTCTCTGCAGACTTTTTTCCCCACCACTTGGCTCAAATTCAGACAAATGCTCTCACTTATCATCCGTGACAGATCATCAGTATTTCCCAGCCATTCATGGTTCAAATTAATTCTTCAACTTTAAGTAAAGAGCATGAATTGTTTTCAGTGTTCAATCCCCTCTGCTTTGTAATACCATGGACTCTAGAGATCCAGCCAGGTTCTCCAGGGAATCTGTGCATTCATCTGGTGACATCTATCGTATCATGCTCCTCAGACTTCTCTCTCATGGGGATGAGCCCCTGGAAAATGCAAGGTTTTTTGAATATAAGGTATTGATTTCTCTAGACAGCATGGTTATCACTTTCCTAAGGACTGTGTACTTGGGGGTGTATTTCCTACATAGCCATAAATACTTTATGGCAGTGGTTCTTAATTTCTTTGTGTCAGAAATTGGCCTGAAAATCTGGTCGATGCTCAGGACCCTTTCCACAGAATACAGCTCTTGTGCACATATGCACACCTTTACCTAGCATTTTCGTGTCTCATGGATCTCTCATGAACAGCCCAAAGAACCTGGGGTTATTGGATATTCATTTTTAAAGCTGATAATGAATTCATCTCTGGCATATGAGGCAATATTTAAATTTTTAAGAATCCACAAATGGTAAATATAGAAGGATCTCCTCAAGGAAGAACATGTTATAGGCTCTCATGAAGCATTACAGTAAAGCATTTTCCTTATTTTTTTTTTCTAACTAACGTGATTATTGATCTCCTGGAACCCACGTTCTCTCTTTTTATCCCAGGGTTGTATTTGATAATTAACCCTAAACCAAGGAATTAACCCAGAAAAGAAATACAATGAATGTTTTCAGGGTCCCCTTCTTTTGTGCAGACATTTTGTAGTTGTTCTTTGTTTTCTGCCACATAGAAAATGAAGGTTATGTATATTATACATATTTGAGACAGAATAGGAATTAGGCTACAATTCCAAATTGCAGTGCAACAATAATAAATTGCCAAGTAATAGACATAAGAACACACTCTGTTTCTGTTCTTCTATATAACAGGCTATCACATGTTTTGTTTTGTGTTTTTTCCAGGTGTCCAGCACATACAATCATTCCTCCTAAGGGCTTTCAGGAGGTGGCGGCTTGTGTTTGTTTTGCAACCATTTTACAACTTAAGATCCTTATGTACTTTATGTTTTCCCACAAAATAAATGAGATGTGCTACACAGTATGTATCCATTTATTTCTCAAGAAATAAAAGACTTGAAAAAAAAAAGAAATAAAAGACTTGAACCTCTGCTTGAGAAATAGGTGAACACATACCCTTTGCCCTAAATATCTTTGAGACAATTCTGGGGTTCTGGACTGAGAACAACAACAACAACAACAACAAAAAACAATTTGCAGGGCAGACTCTTCTTAAACCAGGGACTTACTGTGAGATTTTCAAATCATCTGATAATTCCTTCAGTAGTTTTAACTAATTTTAAAAAGTTCCGATTTCTTCATGTGCCATGATATGCTCCCAGGAAGAGGCAGCTCGAGTGCCTTAGACTTGTGCTTCCTCACTTAAAGCTACCAAATCACTGGCTACTTAACCTTCCTGCTCTCTTTCAGATCCCCATTTCTGCCCTTGTCTCATTTGTGGAGGCCCTGGAAGTAGGATACAGCAAGCATAAAAATCCGTACCACAATTTAATGCATGCCGCCGACGTTACGCAGACTGTGCATTACCTCCTTTATAAGACAGGGGTAGCGGTAAGTACTGATAGGAACTCTTAGATTACACAAAAGATGTGATGATGGTTTTTTTTTACTGGAGGCTGTTCCTATTCTGATGAGGTTGAGCCCACAAGAAGTGCGTTGGTGCGTGGACTTCCTGCTCCCCAAGAATTGTCTAACCATCACTGAAGGTCTTGGGGTTCCTTACGGCTTCTGATATTTTCTGCATCCTGGACTTGATGAAATAAATATGTGGTAGTGACTTGCATCTTTATTAGGCTATGACCACATTAAATATAATTTCTAGAACTAAGTATGTATTTCCAGATGTCTCCACATCTGGAATCATATCATATCATATCATATCAAGTAGAAATCATATCATATCATACAGAAATCATATCAAGTATGCCTGGCAACCACACTGCACACAGTTAGCTTTGGTTTAAACCATTTGATCTTTTTCATGAGGATTATTGATTATTCTCATCCTATGTACGTGTGTTCAATTTGTTTGACCTCAGGGGCAATCTTTACTTCTAATCATCTGAAATTTTTCTTACTTGTTTTGACCCAACATTTCAGCTCTTTAGTTGTTTTTGAATCCCTGTTCTGTAATCCACTGTATGAACTGGCCTGTGTAACTTGGTTATCTCTGCCTTTGCCCTCTTTGCTTCGATGAAAGCTGTTAATTTTCCAAGATACAGCTATTAGTGATGAACAGCCAGTTCTCTGTTAGGTCTCTATGACTTTTTCCTTTGAAATCTTCAGAGTCAACATCAAGGTAGACATTGTTTGGCTGTGGTTATTAATTAGCCCATAAACTCAACACATTTGTTATTTTTTCCTCTAGGGCATGTTGAAAGACTTGGTCTAATATCTCACTGAATTAAAAATGGAACACAGTGGGAGGAGTGTGGGCTTTGGAGCTAGATATAGTGGGATATAAATCCTTGAGTAATTACTTATTAGATTTAGTGACCCATGATAAATTGCTTAAATCTCTGAGTCAGGATTTCCGCATTTTTAAAATGGTGAAAAATATTCTATCTTATAGAAATACTGTGGCAGTTAGGAATAAACTATCAAAAATGGGAAGTGCTCGGTCTGCCTCATGAAGGAAGTTCAACAGTTAGAAATTGTTGTTAGTAAAACTTTGCTGGATTTTCTCAAAACCTCTCAACAATTTCAGTTCTTCTTTATTGTAAAGCTGGCTTCTTAAAAATATTATTTAAAAAAGCTATAATTTTTTATATTATAGAAACACTATCAAGGGGACCTGTTTAATGTGATGAAAGATTTCTGTCAGAAGCACAGAGTAGACTTAGTTAATGGTGGTTCCTTGAAAACATGGAGCAAAACAGGGATGGCCACACTAATGTTGCTATTGAGCATTTTTCTGGAGGTCTCATCCAATGCAATGTAGTATCTAAAAAAGTTGAAGAAGTATCCTGTGAAAATAATTTGACCATCTCTTTTAAAAAAATCAAGAAAATCCAACTGCAAATTATTAGGTCAAATAAAAGACCTCAATCAGACGTAGATAAAATAACTGTCCTAGGGCACCTGGGTGGCTCAGTCGGTTAAGCGTGTGCCTTCGGCTCAGGTCATGATCCCAGGGTCCTGGGATCAAGTCCCACATTGGGCTCCTTGCTCAGCAGAGAGCCTACTTCTCCCTCTGCCCGCCCCCCACTAATTCTCTCTCTCTCAAATAAATAAATAAAATCTTAAAAAAATAGCTGACTTAGACATTGGAAATTAACAAGTATAGTAGAGGAACATACATTCTGGAGAGTTGTTTTTTTTTTAAATTGATAAGTTACTAATGAAGAACTTCAAAACTGATAAAAAGGAAACTGTAAAACTAAATTAAAGAGCAGAAAAACAATGTTTAAATAAGAAAGAAAATACATTATGTTTTTAATGCAAATCTTCAGTGTTATATAGATGTCAATTTTCTTCAAACTGATCTATAAATTCAAAGCAATACCAATAAAGAATAATGAAACATGATAAGCTGAGTCTGAGGTATATGTAAAATAGATATGTCACAACTTTAGAAAAAAGAGTTTTGAAAAAGACAATGTATGCCGTGGTATAGTTCTTATTCTACTAGGTGTTAAAATATCTGCTAAAGCTGTAGTAATAAAGACAGGGTGGTATTTGTGCAAAAATCACCAAATATATGAATGAAGTTGAGTAAAGTTTCTCAAAAACTAAGCCCAAATATTTATTGAGCACAGTTTTGATTTAGACATATTGAGTTTCAGGTCCTTATTAGACATCATTGTGGAAGTGTCAAGCGGGAAGAGAATGAATGGAATCGAGAGCTCTGGGGAGAGGTTATGGGTGGACATGTAGATTAAGGCAATCTTGGGCATATCAATATTATAGAAAGACATGGAATTAGTTGAGATCATCTGAAGAGCGAGTGTGAATAGAGAAGTAGTAGGGGCTCTGAAGTGAGTCCTGGAACAGCCTCAAGTTTAAAATGAAGGTAAAGAATTAGAGCCAACAGTAGTAACTAAAATGGAGTGGTCAGTGACATTGGAATAAAAGCCAACAGTGTGGGCGTGGAAGCCAAGGAAAGTAAGTGCTTTAAAAGAGAATAGTGAATTGTATGGGACATGCCAAAATGTCAAATAGGATGAGGACAGAAAAGTGACCGCTGCCTTTGGCAACATGGAAGTCATTAGTGGCCTTGACATGAGTGGTCTCAGTGCTTTGGTGAGGATGGACCACTGACAAGAGTATAATGAAGAAAGAATTCAGGTGAGAAGGTAAGGACACATCTATAGACAACAACATTACAGGGAAAATGACTCAGGTCAAAAAATGTTTTGGGAACTATGGTTCATTTAGGGAAAGAAAAGAATGTTTTTGTTCTACTTTAAACCAATCACCTAATATTGGACCAATGAATTAAAGATTTGAATACAAAAAATTTGATCATATTAGAAGAAAATATGAGAATATGTTTATTTCCTTGAAACAGGAAATTCTTTCTTATATAAGCCTCAAAACACAAAAGTTATATAAAAATATTGATTAAGCTGAGTGTATGAAAATTAAAACCTGTAGGATAAAAAGAATCATCATAATGTTGTAAGTACTTGAGGAAAATATGGGATTAAGATCCAGATGATAGAAAGTTATCAACAAGAAAATGACAGAAATTCAGGAGAAAAATAGGAGGAAACCCATTCACAGAGTGAAGATTGCCCTGTTATAAAGTCTCTGTCATAGGTGAAATTTTGTCTTCCCCCTCCCCCGCCCCCAGATTATGTTGTTGAAAGGCCTAATCTCCAGTGCCTCAGAATGTGACTGTATTTGGACAGAAGGTCTTTAAAGAGGTAATTAGGTCACGTGGGTGGCCCTGATCCAGTATGACTGTTGTCCTTCTACAAAGAGGAGATTAAGATGGCAGACATGTGCGTGCACAGAGGAAAGACCATGTGAGGACATGGCACAAAAAGGACCATCTGCAACCTGGGGAGAGGACACTCACTGCAAACCGACCCTGCCAATACTTTGATCTTGGACTGCTAGCCTCCAGACTGTGAGAAAATAAAGTTCTGTGGTTTAAGCCGCCTAGTTGGTGGCATTTTGTTATTGCAGCCAAGGAGACAAATAGAGGAGCAGAGCTATGATTCGGTCCCAGGACTGACTTCTAACGCCATGCATTTAAATATTTAGCCATATTTCTACAATGCCTGTGGTCAAAAAAAAAAAAAAAAAAGAGCCCCTGATATTCTTGCACCTCAGTATCCTTATGTGATACTTGAAAGTATCCTGGTGAGGATCAACATAGATGGCAAATGTACTTTGGACTGATCTATTTCAACATATATTTAGTTAGTACCTGCTGTGTGCAGTATACTATGGAGATATAAAGGTAAATCATACACAGCTTTTTTAGCCCTCAAGAAAAACTCCCAAGTATTTATGCTAATGCAAGTTATCATTAACGTGAATGTTACAGCAACCAATGATCATGATGTACTGCATGCTGTTCTTAAATGAGCTCATTTGCCATTGAATTTTCATTATCAATTCAGGCCATATTCAGAATCATTCTTAAATATAGAAACTACTTCCCGCCCACTCTCTCTTGGAAATGCAGCTCAAAACAAACTTCTTTCATTGCAAGCTTACAGAAACAGTGGGGAGCATTCTGATGAATGGAGAACATATTGTTACTCTAACTTTCCATTACAAACCAAGAGGGGGAAATGCTTTAAATCATTTCAGTTTTATAAACTGTAAGACACATGGGGAATCAAAACATCCCATTGATAAAGTGATGTCTGGGCTTCAACATCAACAGTATTACTCATTGTAATCTGTTTATATTACTCATTATTGCTTTACTTAGATGCGGAGAAGATGGTTGAATTCTTTCAGAATTATTTTGCCCACTTTTAAGGGAAAAATCCTTGAACAGAATTAGACTGAAGAGTTGTTGATTGAATAAATATGAATCAGACTTTGAGCTCCAGTCAAATTTTGATTTAGGTCAAAGGATTCCAAACTCCAAAGCCGTCCCTTGGCCCCTTTCATTGCTTTGTCAGGCAAGTGCCATTAATTTTCCTCTTGCTTATTTTTTTTTTAAAGGGGAGAGGCTGTGTATCTTGTTCTTTTGATCATAGATGCCATCATCATATTTATACAGGAAACACTAAATGGCTAAAGAGTGCTAAATAATTTTATTAGTGTTTGTGGTCTGCAGAATTTTGGTCCCCATGACCTTTGCCCTCTGTCATAACACTTACTAATGTTACATTAGATGGCAAAACACTAATACAATGAAGGTCACTAATCAGAGGACCATAAAATAGGGAGATGAGCTTTGATTCCCCAGGTGGGCCCAATGTAATCTTGTGGGTCCTTGCAAGTCAAGAGGCGTGATGAGGAGCTGTGAGGACTCAACTGGCTGTTGCCAGCTTGAAGATGGAGAGAGCCAAGTGGAAAGTCTGAGTAGGAAATGATTTTTTCCAATGCCTTAAATGTACCTGGAAACAGATTTTTCCACAGAGCTTCCAGAAAAGAACACAGCCCTGCCAACACCTTGATTTCAGCTGTGTGAGATCCTCACCAGAAAAATCCAGCCACACTGTGCTGCTTTCTGACCTCCAGAACCTTGTGCCAATAAATGGGAGATGTTCTTTGAACCTTAAGTTTGTGGTAATTTAAGGTAGCAATAGAAAACTGATACAGGGGTGGAAACATTACTAAAGAAACTGTCATTCACATACAAAACCCACAACTTGAGAATAATGTCCCCTCAAGCAGTTTTGCCCATGTCATTTTCCTTCACGTGTCCACTGACCCCCCTTTGCCCCTATGCCAATGCACACTGGGCTTGCTTCCTGAAGTCCACCACTACCAGTTGTCCCTGTCATTGAATTAGTTGTGACACTCATTTTTTTGTAGATGGGAAATACGGACAGGATCTGTGGCTTGTGCCTTGTCACAGTTCGATAAATCTGGAATAAAATTCATGTGGGACTTAATTTTTTATTTCTTATGGGTTGTCATAAAATCTTCTGGGCTCACAGTAATTAACTTGGAAAAGGCAAGAAAATCTGGACCATATTAAAATATGAAGCCTTGCAGGGCACCTGGGTGGCTCAGTTGGTTAAACATTTGCCTTCAGCTGAGGTCACGATCTCTGGGTCCTGGGCTCCATGCTCAGTAGGGAACCTGCATCTCCCTCTCCCTCTGCCCCTCTCCTCTCCCCCGACAGTCCCCCCCTTTAAATCCTTGAGGGGTATAACATAACATGGGTTCTGTGTCCAAAGGCCTTAGCAGGAAGGTTGCTTTGGAATTTGGCATGAATCATGTCACTGTTTCCATGAGCATGAGTTACCTTTCTTCAGACTACTCTGGTTTTGTTGGGTTCGCCACCAGGAATCATCTTTTCCTTTGTACACATGGGTACTCTCTTGCCTGGATGGAATTCGGTTTCATCTCGAGTATAAACACTTCCAGAGACCCTACTTACAGCCAACAGAAATAGCCTCAGACTACAGTGTTCCAGACATATTTGTCATTTTAGAAGTTCTGTTCGAAGCAGGGCTCGACAGGCTCCAAGATAGCCTTTTAATCTTATTTTAAAATGTTAAGTTAACTTTGCGTAAGTTTGGAGAAAGAGCTATATTGGTGGTGTGGTGGGGGGAGGATGGGTAGGTAGAGCGAGTTGAAGCTGATGGGTGGGGACAGGTTACTGGGGAAGAATTGAAAGACATTGCCGAAATGAAAAAAGTATATATGTATGGAATATATCAAGAACATGTGTAATATAAGCTGCCAGGTGATGCTACCTCTGATGGTCCAGGGAACACAATTTGAGAACCTTGGACTACAGCCAGTTTTGGTGGCATGGTTGGGAGTGGGAGGGGTCTCTTCAAACATCAGCATGCATAAGGCAGAAGGCCAGGTGTTATCTTTCCTTCTGTCTACATATACCCACTTTCTAGTAGGTAGACATTAGATTTTCTGTTACTCTTAGTTCTGGTATTGTGTTAAAATTTTTAATATATATATTTTTTCTATGTCTCCCTAAGAACTTTACTTGGAATTTGGGAAAGAATACAATGAGGGTTTTTAAAGTCTTCATGTTCCTTGATTTTTGCTTCCTTGAAAAAAAATAATAAAACTACTAGTTAGCTTTCTCAACCTTGCTGGGCAAGCTACTTCCAAATACCATATCCCCCAGTCTCCTCATAGGAGGAAGGAAATTCCGTCTGTCAGAAAACGTGTGTTTGGCAATAGCTTTCCAGCTGCAGGGTGGAAAGGCAGTGACGCGGTGTGTTGTCAGCAAGCTGAAGACTTTGAGAAAGAGACAGATTATCTGATTGCCCTGCAATCTCCCTTCCAGAACTGGCTGACAGAGCTGGAGATCTTTGCTATCATCTTCTCAGCTGCCATCCACGACTACGAGCACACAGGGACCACCAACAATTTCCACATTCAGACACGGTGAGGATGCTGGATGTTTGCGAGGAGGCAGGAGGGGGTAAGGGTAGAGTTTGAGACGTCAGAAGGGTATCAGCCACCTTTCTTTTGCATGGTTACTCTATTTTGCGTTTCTGAAAAAATGAACTTTTCAACAAGAGATCATCCTGGTCAACTTCCGTCAAGATTTAGAGTTTGAGAAGCCATCTGCTCCCAATGCTCGTACGTTACTCACATCGAATATGGATATCCTTTTCTTCTCCATTCGAATGCTAGCTATTTGTTTCCTTATATGTGTATTGTGCATACTCTACCTATTTCTATTAGGTGGTAGAACAGTTGGCAAAAAGGTACAGATGCCATGTAGACTGAATCAGTGAGGATGGGCCAGGATCAGGATGTTTCTGTCCACATGTACAATACCTGAGCCTTCTTGCCCTATGACCTCTGGGATTCTGGGGACACTCTTCTCATCCTTCGTGATTTCATCCCTGCTCTTTTTGGTGCTTGCATTGCTCCCTGGCAGCGGGCTTGGGGAGCTGGGTTGTCTCATGCAGACTGCCTTCACCATAGATAATCTGTGTACCCACTATGATGAACTTCAGAGGTAAACACAGATCTCTGTGGGGGGAATTAAGTATGGGTCCAAGTGCCCAACTTTGAACCTCTTGACTGTAACAGACATCGCTAATCAATTTTCTTTAAACCAAGCTTTGTATTTATCCTTAGTGTTCCACTCAACACAGAATTCCAGGCAAGCAGTACCAGTCATTTGTCTTTTCCATTTAGGATGCAACTTTGTCTGTCCTGTCCTAGCCTAAGAACTTACCCTCTCTTCAGACAATTCTATGAAACTGGAGAGACTCTGATAGTAGGGTTAATTGGGCCTTGACATAGTAATTGAAAGAAGTTAGAATTTGGGGAAAGATGGCATGGCTAAGAGGAATAATGTAGCAGGGAGAGATGAGGATTTAAATAAATACTGCGGTTTCACTTGAAAAAAGCAGGTGCACACGCCAGATAGGTTTGTGTTCATTAAATCAATCTACATGTATTTAATGAACCCAACACTTAATTGTGGGTTACACAAAAGAAGACAGTATTGTCTGATCTCTGTTCAGATGGGGAATTTCAATAGCATGGCAGCAGACAAAAGGATGTAAGCCGTCAGCTTCATTGTCTACCTCTGGCTTCCTCACGCAGAGAACCTCAGCTGCTGGGAAGCCGCCTTTTGTGGTTCTGTTGCAAGGGCTTTAAATACAGGGAATTCCGCAGAGCAGCTCTGTTTAGTGGATATCTGTGAGTGGAATCTTTGCTCTGAGGACGGAGGCTGTGGTGAATAGCACCTGCTGAAGGAAGAGAGGTGGGTGGAGCAACTGTACATGGGTCTATGCTGGAGACCAGTATCAAAACCCATCTCAACTCAGAGGAAATGGCTTAATTACAGCAACTGGAAAAGAGCTTAATGTCACAAAATATACATCAGTTGGAGCCTGACTTAACAGATACATGATCAGATCTTTCACCACAGGGTTTGCATGTTTTGTGTTATCTCCATAGGAGTGAGGAAATTCCAGTGGATTCAGTTAGGCTTGCTTTGGAATAAAATTTAAGCATTGGTCTTCTTTAATAGAACTTTATTCAAAGCATCTCAGCCCATGTGAGCCCTATACAGAAAACTAAATCCGTAACGAAGTTCTTTGTCCTTTGATGGTATGTTAAGCCTAACACTTTAAAGGTATGCTAGGTATATCCCAAAGGTTGGCCCATGACAGGTACAAATTATGGAGGGGACCAGTGGCCGAACTCTCAGAAGACCTTCCTTTATCCCAACCCTGCCACGTAGGCACTGTGGGGTCTGTGAAGTCATTTTACGTCACTGAGACTCAGCTTCCTTGATGAGAAACAAATAAGCTATAATAATCTAAGTTTTCATTAAATTGAAGATATTGAAATAGTGTACAGCTCTGTGTTTGGTGCAGTAGTCTGAGAGGAAGTGATTAGCAACTGTCTTATAATCCTTATATTCTTTACCCTCACTCTTACACATATGGCCTCCACATGGCAAAATGTTAAGGTCAAGGTACTACCAGAGGAACTTGGCAAACTCTACCTACCAGGTGCTTTGTGTTCAGAGCATTATAATGATAATAAATTCTCTCACTGAATAAAATTTTTAAAAAACTTAAAGGCATTCCAGAAAATACAAGGAAGTTTGAGTTGACCCATGTTTTATGAAATCCCCTATGCTACTTGTAGAAATCATTGAGATCTGGTTATGGAACAGCTTTCAGAGAGTTCTCAGTTTGGATAGCACATATTTCACGTTAACATATTAACATTAAAATACCCTACATATATCTATTAATAATTTGTAGTGTTGGTTTTAGCTTATTCGTTGACATCAGTGGCATGGGAGCAAAGATAACTGTTGAACATAGGGAAAAAGATGGTGTATTCTAGCTTGAGAGAGTCACCTGAAAAATCTCAACCGTTTAACATCCTAAATTATTTTGCTTGGCTTTCTGTTCAGGTCTGACCCTGCTATTCTGTACAACGATAAGTCTGTATTAGAAAATCACCATTTAAGTGCAGCTTATCGCCTTCTGCAAGAAGATGAGGAAATGAATATTTTGATCAACCTCTCAAAGGATGACTGGAGGTAAGGATGAGACAGGAGAGAGATTTGGAGCCTAGGAAAGGAACCATGAGGAGAGACGAAGTATGCTGCTTTTGGAGAAATAATACCACTTGAAATGTTTATGGCACCCTTTCTCTCGCCTCCTTTCTCTTCATCCCCTGTCTCCTTCCCTCTCTCTTCCCCACTCATCCTCTCCCTTTTTTCTCTCTCTCCCCTTTCTCTCTCTTCCCTGCCTTCTCTCTTTTTTTTTTTAACACAAATATTCAAATATATTATAGATACTTTGGAAATACTTGCTGCTTGTTACCTTAGGAAACTTGTGTTGCTCTTGTCTTAGCCTCTTAAATCTGAGTTTTTTTCTTTTAACATTCATTTTTTGCCTTCTATTTGATTTGAACTTCTTTTAAAAATCTTTCAAAACTGCACTAAGGCAATTATTTTGACACTCAAAAGTTATTTCTAATTCTGTTGCCTAAACGACGTTGTGTGTTCTTGAATGAATTTCGGCACACCTGAGTTTGAATATGGACACAGTTACTAGTTGCATGACATTTAGGAAGTTACTTAACCCCTTCACACTGTTGTAAAATTTAATTTCTAGAAAATAGATAATAAAATTTACCTCGTGGTTTGGTAAATTTAGAATAAATGATATAATCCATTTAAAATGCTTAACACACATTGTGATGTATATAGCAAGCCTGCAAGTCTTTGTAGCTATAAATACAGATCAAGGTGTTTCGAAAATTAGAGGCAAAATCATTTAAATCCTTACAAAGTTCTGAATCTACTGCGATGCAAATAGTACTTATATTTTAATTAAATGATCAGCTGTTCTTTGAATATCTTTGTGCTAACCATTATGTAAAGATTCAGAGAACTAAGCCATACTGAGTGATATGTACGTTCCACATGTCATATTCCTAATTAATGATTTCCTTAATCCTTAACCTTCACTTATTCCTCATAAAAAAAAGCCCACCTAAAAAGCTCAAGTTGATTAGAAATGTCACCACTAATTAACCGATTTTGCTTAGAAGTGGCAAAGAATATAAGTGAATTTTTATTTCCCATTTTTTTACTTCCATGCTTCTCTCTCCATGGGGTATCCCTGAAAGGGAGTTTCGGACCTTGGTAATTGAGATGGTGATGGCCACGGACATGTCCTGTCATTTCCAACAAATCAAAGCAATGAAGACTGCTCTGCAACAGCCAGAAGCGTGAGTGGACCTGTGACATCATGTGTTTTTATAGGTGTTTGAACTGGTATTTGTCCATGTTGTTGCACCTTCAGAGAGCTTCACTGAATGGTCACATGAAGTGGGGCTGGTGGAGGAGAGAGCATGACAGTTGTACATATCACAGACGGATTTTCATCAGGGTTGAAATAAATAATAGGGCCAGTAACAATTTGCCCCCAGTTAAGAATTTAAAATAATTCTTTGTGGGAAACTACGTAATCAAAGATTCACTCAGTACAGGGGCAACAAAAGTCAGTGAGTGACTCTTAGATTCTTATTGTCTTTTTGAATGATGCAGTCATTCCAGAAGTTGTTTGGAGTCTGTTTATGAGGTGTCCAGCTCAATAAGCATGGAGACTAAGCTGATGAATATCCCAGTTGTAGGATGAAATGATGCTTTCCCCCCAGTTCAACTGACATGGGGTTTGAGATGGGAGAATGGAAGAGACGAAGAAATTAATGATTGTTAAAAACTCTTATTGAGGTTCTGAAAGTTTGGTCATCACATGTTTGGGTCCTTTGGGTTTATAGAATTGAAAAGCCAAAAGCATTATCCCTGATGTTGCACACGGCGGACATTAGCCATCCTGCAAAAGCATGGGAGCTCCATCATCGCTGGACAATGTCACTCCTGGAGGAATTCTTCAGACAGGTATCTTGTTGTGCTACTCCTCAGGGCCATCAGCACTAGATAGTTTCTGAGTTTTATATTTCAGCAATGCTATAATAAGACGATTGGTGTTACAATCATTTTCTTTGGGGAGGAAGGGTTCATAGCTTTTTTTTTTTTTTAATTTCCTGGCCTCTTGCTCATGGGATGTTTGACTCTTACCTAAATTTTGGTTCTCAGAACATCATGGGTATTTCTGTCCTATGCATTTCTGTTTGGAAAAAAAGATTCTTTTTGTCAGTTTTTTGTCAAAATATCACCCTTTTACTCCTCATTCTAATGTGTTGACCAAATGGTGTTTGCTTTTGCATCATTGTGTGGGATTAAGATGTTAATCTTTAACTCATAATGATCTGTTACAGTAGATTGGGTTGTTTCTTTTGAGCAGATAAGCCATGTTGTCAAATTCCAAAGTGAGGTGTGGCAATTTGTGGTCAGGAAATCACTAGAAGCTATTGTTTCAATTATATTTAAACGTACTACATCCTAAGACACAGGGTTGTGTTTTCTACATGGGTAGCCAGAGTCTTTAATGAGTAGGCAGTGCTTGAAAATTAAATTAATAAAAGGTACACAGAAGTAGAGAAATCAGGAAATTAATACATAGTATCAAAACTGATGTCTTCTTTTTTTATTATTATTGTTATGTTAATCACCATACATTACATCATTAGTTTTTGATGCAGTGTTCCATGATTCATTGTTTGCATATAACACCCAGTGCTCCATTCAGAACATGCCCTCTTTAATACCCATCACCAGGCTAACCCATCCACCCACCCCCTCCCCTCTTCTTAAGAAGAGCTGCCCTTAAAACAACTGCTTCAAGACATGAGGTCCTGAGATTGAAGGCAAGATGACATGCAGACTGTGGGGCCTAAATTATAGCCAACTCACATCAGTACAGTTAATTCAGTTACTTCTGGTTACTTTAAGAAGGGTGGTTCATGTCATGGACTGGGAGATCTCTGAGACTGCACAGAATACTACTCATGACCCCAGTCTCAACTTTGTCCCCTAAACTGACAAGAGATAGGCTCTTTCAGTGGTTACTTGATTTTTGGAAGCAAATTACTCCTCTATGATTACTCTTATTCTGTGATTCTGGTTTGAATGGAAAAACTGTAGAAGGCATCTGTATATGTGTGTTTTTTCTTCTGAAACTTTACACAATATCTAGTGATGAGGTGGGACCAGAGTCAACAGCATATTCAACAAAGTCCAGAAAGCCCCTTATTAGAGTTTTTATTCCAACTGGTTCATGGGACTAATCAAATCCCTCTTCTAGTTCCCAGTGGTCTTATCTGTGACCTGTGTTTTAGGAGGTGGTGGCGGTGGTGGCTGGGGGGTGGGGTGGGTGGGATTTAGGGGAAGGTTGGGCCAGATGTTTCCTTAGGGTCCTTCTGGCATTAAATGTTCTACACTTCCTTCATACTGTCTAGGGGTGCACATCAACACCTGTACACACGCATGCTCCCCTAAGCTGTTATGTGAATATACCATCACCTACCCTATTCTGCATATGGCTGTTTCCCCTTGCAAAGTCATTGCTTGGTCTCAGACTTGTTCTCAAGGAGAACCCAGTGGTGTGCGAGGAACTAGAGCTGGACAGGTGGGCCTTGTCTATACAAAAATGACTCTGCCATTTTTCCGGAAGCTATTTTTTTAATATTAGTGAGAGGATTTTCTGTAAATAACCACTCCCCATTATCATATGCTTTCTTTAATATTGCTTGAGCAATAACACCCCCTATGGCTGGGAGTATTTAATCTACAGCCAAAGGGAGGTGATAGCTAACTCATGTAAGTTTGAGGTATTGAAGTGATTCCTTCTTTTAATTGTGAATGGATATGAGAAATTTCTTAAATATGTGCACATTTTTTCCCATAAAGGAAAACTTGTTTGCAAACACATATGCTTGAATTGAATGAAAAGGTGCTAGAGGCAATGTGAAAATAACCTTATTGAATTTCTTGCCTATTGGGAATGGAATGTTAGCTCACTGGACTGGAACTATTTTTTAGTAATTATGATTCAGTAAATTATTTTTATTGACTTAATATTTTAACCCAGATGCCATAAGCCATTGTAAGTAACCCATGTAGGAGAAATGTTGCCTCAGCGCTTAACTATAGATTTTAAATTGGACAGTTCAAATGGGAAAGCTCAGTGGGACTGTAGAACCTTTGAAAGTATTACATTTGGAAGTTGGGTTGTAATTCAAAATAGGGGCATAGCCTCAGTGCTGATAGACCACACCTTCCATACTTTGCTAAAAGAGTAAGTTACATCTTCAGTATTATAACCATATTTTACAAAATCCAAGCTGTGGCCTTGGGGTGCTTCTCAATGAAATATTGACTTTAAAGAAGTATAAGTTTGCCTCTTTGGTAAATACATGCTATATAAGTCTTGAGGTTCATTTCCTTTATATTGCTGTTTATTTTTATATTTTGCAAACGTCCCTTACAATTCTTTTAATATCTTCTGTGTCTGTGGTTATTTCCCCATTTCTAATTCTCATTTCATGTATTAGTGTTTTTCCCCTTGCTTCTCTATGAAATTGGCTAATCATTTGATTATTTTGTTTCCATTTTATCTTATAATACCTTAATTGAAGTTTTCATTTTTACTAATTCATTTCTTCTGCTTGAGTTTATTTTGTTCTTTTGCTAACTCCCTGAGTTGGATGCTCAGTTCACTCATTTCATTCTGCCTGTTTAGTATTAGAAAATATAAGGCTAGGGGTTTGTCTTTTTCTTATGAATCTCATAGATTCTGATATGCAGTATTTTCACAATCATTCCTTTCTAAATATTCTGTAATTTTGGTGTAGATTTTTCTTTTACCCAAGAGTTGGTTCAGATAGAGGTGTTTATTTATGTAATTTTCCAATGGTGGACTCTTTTGCTTTCTAGTTTGTAATTAATTTGTGGCTTATTGAAATTCAATCAAAGAATTTTTTCATTGTTTGGATTTTATTGTGAATCATTTGTTACCTACTATATAATCAGTTTTGTGAATGTTTACTGCTCTTGAAAAGTAGATTTATTTTCTACTAGCCGGGTATAGAATTCAAACAATACCCCATATATCTACCTTATGAATTATGTCATTTAGGTATTTTATATATCATTTAAAAATTTTGATCTATTGTGGGATGACAGATGTTTCTATTTTTTTTTCTTTCTACGTAGTGTGAATGTTGATTCTATGTTATTTGGTTCTTGGATATTCATAACTATTAGATTGTCATAATTTATTGTACCCTTTATCATTATAAAGCCTGCTTCTTTGACTCATCTAATGCTTTTACCTAGAATTCAAATTTGACTCATTTTAAGGATATGAGCCTTGTCTTTGCACAGGTTTTTACCTTTAGCCTTTCAGAGATACTTTCGTTTGGGTGTGCCTTTTAAACACTGTATATAGTTGAGGTTTTTTATGAGGCCATCTAAGATTCTTTTCTCTTATTATTTGAAATCAGCTATATTCGTATCTATTAAAATGACAGGAATATTTGATCTTAGGTACCATCATATTTTATATTATGCTCTCTCTTTTTACAGCTTCTTCATAAATAGTTCATTATAGTGACTGTGCCATCTGCTTTGTTCTATATTTATTTCTTCTGATGACTTGGGAGTTTTATATTATGTTTTTTGTTCTTCCAGTGGCTAACTTGATAATAAAAATTTTACATCCTCTATTTATTTAGATAGTGTCTATTGCCTCCTTGTTATAAAAAGTAGTAAACTTCTACTTCCTCTCTCCTCTTCCCCAGCACCTGATTTTAGTAGCTTTTATTAACTTGTTTAATTCTTGTAGTCTGTCCTTTATTATTTAAATATAGCTCTATTTTTAATATATCAGGTTTAAATGATATATTCTTATCTCCAACAGGTAAGAAAGCCGGCATTTATTTATTACCTCCCAACACCATTCCTCATTTTCCTTTCCATAACATAACTAACTCCTTGTTACTATTTGTTGGCTATATTATGTCTAAGTTGTCCTGATTTTTTAAATGGGCCTTCTATGGCATGTACTACATGCTGCTTACAAAAGATACACCCTAAACAATGTGACTCAGAAAGGTAGAAAACCGGCAAGAGCATAATTTTCTAGTTGTTCTTGTCTTGATTCTACTCAATGTTGGTACTTTGGCCCTGGTTGATCATCCATTGGTTAGCCAACGTTGTTCCTCAGGTGGTTTCTTCTCGAAGAGCTAATGAAACCACATTTTTGTGTACTTGCCCATTTTTCTACTGCTGTTTGCTTGGGTAAGACATTTTTTTGATCAAACTTTCTTTCCCTGAGGCCTTTTTTATATTTCACTCAAATGTCTTCTACCTGTGAATATTGCTATGGAGAGGTTGGAGGCCCTGCTGTAATTATTTTCATGTCTAGGTGATATATCTTTATGCTTATGTGCCCTAAAGGATTATTTCTTTATCTTTGAAGCCCACTGACATTACTAGGGTATATTTCAATAATGATTGTTCTTTAATAGCTTTTCTTGGGAACTGGCTTGTTCTTTTCTTCTATAGATTCAAGTTACATTGATTACATCTTTGAATGCTTTCCTTTTCCATTTGTTAAGTTCTCTTCTTTAGGGAAAACAGTTATTCATACGTTGAGTCTCTTTTGTTTCTCTTCCATGTCTACATTTTTCCTTTAAGTCTTCATTAACTCTTTGATCAGTGGTCTTTGTTTGGCCTGCTTTTTACATTCCTGACCTCCATGCCCCTTAATGTGTTTTCATCAAGAACAACTCTTGTTTGTGCCGCTTCCGGTGCAGTCTTCATTTATGCAATCATTCTGTTTTTCTCTTCCATATCTTTCCTGAGCTCTGCTAGCTCCTATTTCCCTGAGCCCTTTTCTTGATAATTTCAGGAATTTCTTTCTGTTCATGACAATATGTTTGGTCATCACTTGGTGGCACTGTTTTTTCTGGTGTTTCCTGTTTTTTTTGTGTTTCTTCCTTTCTTCCTTTTTTTTCCTTTTTCATTTGATATATGTTTTCTCAGGTTTTTTTGTTGCTAGTGATGGTAGTGCTGCTTCTTCTTCCTCCTCCTCATCCTTCTCCTTTTTCTCCTCTTCCTTCTTCATTTTATTATTATTATTATTTACTATTGAATGAAATGAATTTATTTTTAAACTATTTGCAGGAGGTATGTGCCAAGGAGAAACCAGAACAGCAGTATTCTAAACTAGCTGAGATTCTTCATGGTTTGTTATGAGGCTTCTATGACGTGGGGCGCGCGCACGCATGTGTGTGTGTGTGTGTGTGTGTGTGTGTGTGTTAATCTTTATTTCTTCCCAGACAGCAGTGGGCAGCAGTTGTAGGGCTGTTTACAATTCAGACTCTGCCATCCATCATCCTCTTGCCATGTCTATGTGTTTCCTCATTCAACTTCTCCTTTTCTACTATTCCTAGGGACTAAATAGGGCCCAGGGTAGCTCCTCACACCAGAGAGAATGAGGAGAATGATGCTCTTCAAGTTTTATCTGAGATCTGGAGCCATAGGCCTCTTCTCTGGGGCTCTTACCTCACCCCTCTCTGATATTCACAACATTTGGCAGCCGTTCCTCATCTAGTTTGATTTGAGAGTACAGATTTTTCCTAGCATTTGTGTTTCTGTTTCTTGCTCTCCTGTTTTGAGAGGATAATTTCTGAGAAGACACAGATGTCTTCACTATATTATCTTAAATCCAAAATCACAATAATTTTCTTATACTTCCTATTTGTAACTTCTTCCCCTGGGAAAGAAGAGTGTACACTGCTGTGTTTGTTTTTGTTTTGTTTTGTTTTGTTTTGTTTTGCATGATGCTTTAGTTACCCTCCCCACTCAGATACTTTTTCTTCACTCTACCTGAGAAGACTCACTTGAGATGTCACCTGCCCTGTGACCTTACAATATGGAAATAATCTTTGTTTTTCTTGATTGGTTTGTTGCTTATATATAGCTGCTATAACAAACCCAAAAATGAATAATGACACGCATAAAATGGAAGTTTATTACCCACTCATGTAAAGCACAGGACAAGTGTTTATTGATTGGCAGATAGTTTACAATCAGCAGTGATTTTAAACCTAGACTCTACATGCGTCCATGTTGCTTGTCTACATCAAGCCAGCAAAAAAGGGAAGAACGTGGAGAAGTAGGCATAGAACATTTTATATGCCAGAAGTGTGGTGGAGATACATCCCCTCTCCTCTTGTTTTATAATCTAGCACTAACTGGCAGATATCCTGGGAAATGTGTATAGCTGTGTGGACAGGAAATAGAGAAGGAAAAGGGGGGAGGCTTTATGAACAGCTAATGCCTAATTGCTCCCCCAGCTTGCCTGTCGTAAATGTCCGTGTAACCGAAGAACTTGAGTGTTTCTAATCAAATTCATCTCCTCATTCATTCAACAAAATGCATTGTGCTCCTTTTGCAGATTGACTACATGACTTTATTAGTCTTAACCCCTATGGCAGGAATAATAGTTATTTATTTTTCTGCATTGTCCTGGAAGAAAAAAAATGAGTTAGTTAAAAAAAAAAATCTGTTGTGCTGAGACTTTTTCCCCTTTTTAAAAATATTGACATCTTCAGTAAAAGGAAAGGGTATGAATAATTCCACACAGACCAGTAGTTATAGAGTCTTATAATATCGTTTCAATCTAGTTGAATTCACCTGTAGAATTACATCCTTCCATTTTACTTTCTGCACATTTTTTTCCAATTCATAAATGTATCCGTCCTCCAAAGGAAATTCAATGACAACTGTTTTGAAATAGGCATTTAATAGTTGAGTCTACTCAGCTCAATTAAATCCAAAAGATATAAGTGATGTGTAGATGTGGTATGGACAAGTCCATGGGATAAGAAGTTATTTAATAGCTTGTACTTTTTCAGTAATGCAATCCAAATTAATGCTTATGCCTTAATAGTCAAGTGGTTAGTGTTCACCACCTCTTCTTCTAGACCACCCCATTAAAATATACCAAAAAACCAACTTTTATCCCTGCTTCATAGGGAATAAGAGTGGGTTTTACTTGCTTTAGCTGAGCTATCCTGCTAAACCATCGACACAACAACAGTTTATGTTATAAATACTCTTCCTTCTCTTCATCCTGCCCAAGTAGAAATAGCTCAGGAGTAAATTATTTTTATCATGCCACTTGAGAGATAGTGTAGCACTCAGCAAGGCATACTCAGCAATGGAGGGGCTATTGTGTCCCATGGGAACAGGAAAGTGTGCAGAAGGAACTGAGCCACTTCAGGACTGTTCCTGAGACCCTTGGATGTCCCCAGCACCTATTGTGACCCCATCATTCAGCTTCCTCAGACGCCCATTCCTTTTCCTTCCTTTCAGTAGATGTTCTGTGTGTGTGTGTGTGTGTGTGTGAGAGAGAGAGAGAGAGAGAGAGAGAGAGAGAGCCAGCATCTTTTCTCTTTGGTAACATGCCTTAGAAAGAAAAAACATTTAGTTTTTGAACCTAGTCTAGTTTTTGAATGTTGTTATTACTTTTTATGTACTATTGATTTATTTATAATATTTATTGTCATCAGAGTGTATTTGGTATAACAAATTCACTAAATGTTTCTCAAATCTTGACTTAAATATTAGAGATACCTAAGATACCCAATATTAGAGAAACAGTAATAGTTCTTTTATTTATTTACATATATTTCTCACTTAATCCTCATCATAACCTGATACGATAGGGGTTATTATTCCATACTTATAGAACATAACACTGAAATGTAGAGAGGGAAAATAAACTTCCTGTGATCACACAGCTAGAGGGAGAAAGGCCAGATTCAAGCCAAGGTCAGTAGCCATTAACCTGAGCAGATTCTATCCTTTGTAAAATGAATTAACACAACTTTACTACTGTGAGAAGGGTGCCATATTCTCCCTTTCCTCTAGGTGTGTGACTAAAGTATTGAGCTTTTGGTCCAGGTTTTCAGCCCTCATTATTTAGACTCTCCATAGTACTTGTCATAGTGATGCTTTTTGGTGAGATTGAGAATATATTGACCAGAGAATTATTATTGTCTAACTTGAGAAACACAAGCAGTTATTTACTCTGTTTCTTTTTTGGTCCACTTTCCATTATGCATTGAGCCCTGTGCTTAAGACCCTGGAAGCACTTACCTCAGTTGTGTGTAGCGTTAGGTAGCAGCACTGGGTCAATAAATCCAAATCAGTCCAGTTTGAATTTGTGTTTTGGACACTGCCCACAACTGGGGGCGGGGATTCACTGGCTGAAGAAAGGCCACAGATCGACACGACAACTCGAGAACACACAGGAATTCTGACTGCAGTGTTGGCTCTAGGCCACAAGACGCAATGGCTTTTCTTATTTTCCTCGGGGGACCTTTTGCTGCCTGATGAGGCTTTCTATACAATACCATGTGCCTTTGCAGTTGGATGGAATGATTGGACCCCAGAGGGCTTCAGCTTCTTGGTGTCTTTTATGCAGAGGAGCAGGCCCCAAAAGGACTTATTACATATGTAATTGTAATAATTATAATAAAGACCAGTGGCCTTTGTGGCAATTGAAGTTGCTAAATAAAATCTGGGCAACTTCGCCTACTGATCTTAATTTACTGTGACCTCCTGTTTTTCTAGGGTGACAGAGAAGCAGAGCTGGGGCTGCCTTTTTCTCCTCTGTGTGATCGAAAGTCAACGATGGTTGCTCAGTCGCAAGTGGGTATGTGTTGACAGCCCTTTGGATGGAAAGAAAAAACAGAGAGGGGTGCCTAGAAGTAAGCTCAGATGCTCCCAGTGATTCTTTTGGCTGGGAACCTGGCTCCATTCTGCTGTGCTGTGCTCATGGCTTTGGTTGGTTGGGTTGATGGAGCTGCTCTGCCCATCCTGCTCCCTGAAATGTGGCTGGTTTGTGGGAAGATTAGACAGTGCTGCTCTGTTGTCTCTATCATTCCCCACTAAGAGCAAAAGGGGCCTCAACTTCCCAGTGCAATGACAAGAATCAGTGGCAAGAAGCCCATTCTATTTCAGCCTCTCCATTCTGCCTGCAATCCTGGAAGTCTCCCTGACATCATTTCTCTGCCCTGTTTCCGGGACAGTCCCATTTCCTGGATGACCCTACTTCTAGGAATGGCTCATTTTAAATGTTTCCTTCTTTTTAGAAACCTTTTAGCACCTTTTTTTTTTGGTGAAGATAATTTTGTACTCTAATTACCATAATATATGTGCATTACAAAAATCCTCAGATATGAGAGAGGGTACCAGTATCACACATAAATTAAATATCAGCAGTGCTCTTCACTTGGAAGAGTCTGAAATCATTCAAAAAATAAATTCAACAAGGATTTACTGAGTTTTTTTTCCACTTGTATTTTGAGTACTCATTCCTTTTTTTCGTGATAGTATATTGAGTTTCTGTTAGGTGCAAGGCACTGCTAGGCACTAAAATAGATGTTATAAAAAAAAACTAATACAGATTATATATGGCATCTGCTCCCAAAGACATTGAACCAGGATTGGGTGGTAGACAAGATGTTAGGAAACAAAATCTATTTGAGTGTTACAGTGCTAAGGTAGAGTTTTGTACGTGGCACAATTGGGTACAGAATAGAGTGTGTGGACCATTAGACTCAGAAAGACTTGTTGAAGGGTAATATTTGAGTTGGAGCTTAAGAAATAAGTAGGTAGTATCTAGGCAAATGGTGTTGTTGGTTAGAGGTGTGTAATGGGTGGGTGGAAGGGCATTCCAGATAAGGGATTAGCATATACGGAGCAGGGAAATTTAAAACAGCCTAGTATGGTCAGGGCATTACAAACAGCTCCATATGGCTGGAGCAGTGGGCAGAGAGTAGGATGAAGTAAGTGACATGTCTGAGGAGAAAATCAGGGCATATCTAAAGAATTTTAAGTAAGATTTAAAAACATAAATTGATGCTTTAGAATAAGAGTCAGCAAACTATAGCCTGTGGGCTACATCTGGCGTACTTGGTCCTATAAATGGTTTTATTACACAGCTAAGCTCATTCATTTGCATATTGTCTATGGCTACTTTTACACTACAGTGACAGAGTTAAGGAGTTGTCATAGATTTGGCCCACAGAACCTAAAATATTCACTATTTGGCCCTTTACAGAAAAAGTTTGTCAACCACTGTTTTAGAACGATTTCTCTTATCGGTAGCTGGGAGAGTTTTGAGTAAGACTAGAGGCAAGGAAATCAGCTGGGTGCCCACCTCAGTCATGAAAACCATAAAAGCATTTGCACCAAACACCATATTTCCTTTGATTGGTGTTTCATTTCCTTCCAATTTTCACATGGCTGTGTAATAAACTACCACCAGTAGTTCTAGTTCATATATTTTCTGCTAATGTGTCGCAGAACACCTGGGTATTTTTGGGCCATTGAGACAGTGACTCTAGTCTAACATCAACTATCTCCCCAACATGGTGATATCTCAAAGTTCCAGTTCCAGATCTGACTCCTCTTCCAGGTTCCAACCCTGTTTCTTCCAGTTCTGCTCACCCTTTCCCATCTGGATGTGTCCCTGGCACCTCAGAGTCAGCAGATCTAAGACTGAGCCCATCGTCCTTTTCCCCAGCCACAGCTCCCCCATCACCCTTGGGTTCTCTGCTTTGCTGGGGGAGGTCTCTAACAATTCCCACTTAGAGGCAGTACCTCCCACCAGCTGTGCTTGCACCTGTGCCTCCATGACACCCCCCACCTGGCACTGGATCCCGCCTCCTTCCCTCTCCTTTGAGCTGTCACAACAGCTTCTCAAATGATTTTCCCAGCCTCAGCCCCTCCTGCTCTCTCCCTTCATGCCCATCTTGCCAGATTAACTTTCCCAAAGAACATTGAAAAAATCTAACTGTGATACTCCCCAAACATCTCAAGGGTCTTCTAGCACCCATCTAGGTCCCACCCAATTCCTTAGCCAGACCCTTAGGAGCCTCCCTTCCTGAGCTGATAACTACCTGCCTTCCCAAGTTTTCTCACTCCAACTCTGAAAAAATCCTTAAGCCCCAGTCAATCCTCAGACACATCCTGTATTTTCTCCCATCCTTGTCACTTTGCTCATTCCACCCCTTCCACCTGGAGTGAAGAGACTTAGGGCTCAGCTCAAACATCACAACCTCCATAAAGCTGTTCACAGGCCTCTCAGGGTGAGGGAAAATATCCTCCGTCCCTCACCTTCCCAGGGGCCTTCTTTGGGCTTCTCTTTTGGCCCTTTCCATATACTCTAGGGGTCATTTCTGTGCTCAGTTAATCTCTCTTATAAATGCCTTGAGGGTAGGCAGGTTGTGTTTTACATCTTTGTCTCTTGTGCAGCACCGACCACAGCACTGGTTACCTAGTGGGGGTTGAATCTGTGTTTCTTCATCACTTGATTGAGCTGGATGCTAGAAAGTCATAGGAAAGTTATTTGGAGAGTTGGAACTGACACATGATATTCAACTCAAGGAATATGTTAAATGAATAAAGACCAACCTCTGCTCTATTTATCTGATCTGGAGCTCCTCTGTGGATAAATTTTAAAAGAAAGATAAGACTCATCAGTTTCCATAGGAAACTATGGAAAGGCCCAGTTAACATGTAGTTCCTCTGAGGTGTTGCTGTCTCTCTTCAGGTTTTATTGATTTCATTGTGGAGCCCACCTTCACTGTGCTCACGGACATGACTGAGAAGATTGTGAGCCCTTTAATTGATGAAACCTCCCAAAGTGGCGGGACAGGACAGAGGCGTTCAAGGTCAGTGGAGAAACTCGAAGGATGGGGGTCAGGTGAGGACAGAGTTGTTCCTTTGGGAGAGATGGGGTATTTCATAATGCTTTTTGCCCTCCCTCTCTTGTAAGGGGGTGTCTGCCTCTTTCTTTTTCTCAGAGGAGTGGAGGCTGGACAATCTGTGCTCTCCAGGCTGGCCTGGAAGGGAGTGACCAAGATCCACACCACGACTGGTGGGTTTCCAGGGCTGGTCTTCCACCCCGTTCTCTTTTGGTGCTTTTGCTCATGGCAGCACCCATCACAGCCCTTTGACCTCCTGGCCCCAGGCAGTCCTTGCTCTCCAGACTGCAAAAAGAAAGTACCCCTGATCAGAATTCTCACAAGAAATGAAACTGAATTTCATTTCTAGGTTTAGGAAGAGAATGAAGTGGAGGAAGGAAAAAGAACCTGAAAGCTTTAAATCACCTCTGACATAACTTCATTATATTGAGCATAGATAAGTAGCAGGCTCCGGAGTCAGATTCCAGGTTAAACATCCCAATTCCATTACTTGGTAGCCATGCCATCTCAGGTGAGTGGCCTCAGTTTCCCCATGTGGGTTGTAATACTTCTAGGTTGGAGGGAAGATTAAAGAAGTTATTCAGTCTACATTAAGCCCTTATAACAGGGTCGAGCATGGAGGAAGTACTGACACTTAGTCTTTATTAATGGTACCACTGCTAGTCCTGCTGCCCCTTTCCCGTTTGTCCATGTAGAACCTGGGGCTTTGATATACAGGAGAAAGGAGAGAAATGGAATTTAATGGGAAAAATAAGCAAAGAGCAAGAGAGGGGGTAAATAGAAGGGAAGATAGGAAAAATATTAGGACAGTGGCGTCCTGGGGATGGTCAAGGTGAATGGACCCAGTGAGGGCTGCTGACATGGAGAACAGAAGCCTTCTGCCTGAGTCCCCTACCCCATAGCTCTGCAAGCACCGGGCTGAAATGTATCCTGCTTATCTATTCAGCCTCGGTTGTGGTTGTCAGTGGGTTTGCTTTCATGTTGGTCACAGCGCTAGCCACCTGGAAGTGTGTGATACGTTCAGGTTTCCCAGAAGGTGTCACTTCCTATATATGCATAGTTGCCCGTGTTTAAAACTTGAAGTAATATTCATTTAAAAAATGCCTTTTATATGACTGTTTCCCACAATCTCTAGGGTATCTGTGCCTTTTCAGCTTCCCCTGGGAACATAAGGAAAACTTCTTACTTTGGCCTTGGGGATCCTGGGGTCAGAGGCACTCCAGTATGGGGGGTGGAGGGTTTGGAGCTGGAGAGAAAGAGGTACAAGTGGCTGGGTCACTTAGAAAAGTGGTCAGTGTGGAAGCAGGTGGCTGCACTGGGAAACCAAGTAGAAGCCCAGTTTCAAATTAGTTAATTTCAGAGAGTTGAAGACAGAGAATTCATGTGAGGGAATTCTAGTCATATTGAGTAAGAGGATACCAATCAGTGAAGAAATATGGGGAATAGTTATACTCATGAGGCTGAAAACTTGATGTTTTTTTCTCCTGCTGAAAACAGAATTTGTCACATATGGAAAATAGGAATCGCAAAGTTCAGAACCCAGGAATTTCGCAACACAATTTGAGGAGTGTTAACCACTCCTTTCTTGGGCTTGCTCATTGGCATACATTATTAAAACACTAACCTTCCTCTTTCGTTTGACTTTTTGTCCTCCAGTTTGAACAGCATCAGTTCAGCGGATGCAAAGCGATCGGGCGTGAAGAACACTGGCTCAGAAGGAAGCACCCCCATCAACAGTTCTGTCATCCCCGTTGACTACAAGAGTTTCAAAGCCACTTGGACTGAGGTGGTGCACATCAACCGGGAGAGATGGAGGGCCAAGGTGCCCAAAGGTAACGTGCTACTGGGGAATCTTCCAGGTGATCTGTCTAAACCCACTTAGAAAGCAAGGCATTGCTGATTTATGGGTATTGCAAATGAAGCACTATCTCAGGATCTGGATTCAAATGGCTAACTGGTAGGATCCACTGTCTTTGGCTCTTCATTGTATGTACCACTCAGGGCATAAAAGAATGAGGCAAGCCCCCACTTCAGCATGACATTTGTGCTGACTAAATTCCTCTTGTTGGTATAAAGATCTTGCAGTGGATGGGTGTTGTTCTTTCTTGGTTTCTGTGAGACCACCTGGTCATTCTCATTTCTTATCATGTGACACAATGATGAGGCCTTAACTTCTTCCTTTACCTAAAGTAAAGCCTGACCAGTAGCCACCTCTGCCGTTACGTTGGGATAAAAGGAGCTTTAATATCCTTGCATGCATTTTTAGCCCCCTTTCATGTTCTCAACTTCTCTTCAGTCATGACTCAGGCTGGTCTTCTGAGTTGAATGTAACTTGCAGGCAAAATTCACTGAGGCCAACATCAAAAGCCAGATGAGAAAATTCATGACTCTTGGTACTATAAATAAAAAAGACTGAAATCCGTGTGCTTCTTGAAAGCTGAAATCCGTTTGCTCATACACATATTCGTGTTTCTCAAACTGGTACTACACGATCCTTACGTACTACACGCTCAGCCTGTAACCTAGGGAGGAACGCATACCTGAGATAAGGGTACGATGCTGTGGCGTTGGATTCCAGGGAGAGACGCAAACATAGATGGCTCTTGGAGCTCAGCGAGGGGGCTGACCCCAATGGGGTTTGTGGAGGTGATCCTTCAACAATAGTCAGTGTTTGTTAACACCTACCCAATGCCTCCCACGTGCCGAGAGTACAGAGATAAATCACAGACATCTGGTCCTCAGAGCTCACCGTCTCCTGAGGGCAGGGGGCATTCGCACAGAGTTTCCTTCAAGGAAAGAAGAAGTTCAGTCAAGGATTTGAGCTTGTCACCATCACCCACTGGCCCTGGGCCCCAGGGCCTCATTACAAGAAAGAAGAGTTGTATCCTCAAACACAACCCCAACACTTTCATCCACCAGTGCCCACACAGCAAGTTGAAAGGAGCATGGTAGTGGCTGGGCAGGACATGTTCTGGCTCTATTGGCCCCTCATACATCAGGGGCTGCTTCTTGTGTGGTAGAGAAGAGACCACCTCACTGTTGCAGTTATTCAAACGCCAGCCACTGTGACTTGTCCACAAAATCCAGTCCAAGTGGCTGTTCATTTCAGGTGGGGCCAAAGGTTTATATTTATGGTGCTTTTAAGGCATACTTGAGCCCTTATCATTTTGGGAAAGATGTTGGACCCTGAGCTACGGAAGCAATACCTCTTCCATATTTTAAATGTAGCCTGCCCTGGGACGACTGGGTGGCTTAGTCGGTTAAGTGGCTGCCTTCAGCCCAGATCATGATCTCAGGGTCCTGGGATCGAGTCCCACATTGGGCTCCCTCCTCAGCAGGGAACCTGCTTCTCCCTCTCTCTCCCTCTGCTTGTGCTCTCTCTGTCAAATAAAAATAAATAAATAAATAAATAAATAAATAAATGTAGCCTGCCCTAGTCTATTCAGATGCTTTAAACATTTAAATTCTCCCTGTTGGCAGACGTTGCAAGTGGCAATGGCAGCTACTACATCATCTCAAAAGAAGCACTCTCTTATAATCAATTACACTCATTACATAGATGAAAATCCAATTCCTGACAACACACAGTCTAAAGAGGTACTTTAAAATAATTTGTTTGCAGTTATCTAGCTTACTTAAGTTACCTTCCGAAACTAGTCACCGAGGGGAGCATTAGACAGCTTCTTTTCCAGGAGAAAACTGGCCTTTTGAAAATGACATAAATAAATGCTAATAATTACCAAATGTTAGGTATGCTGGTTGAGATATGGTTAAGCTATTTTGGAAGCATAAAGGGACTTGTCCCTTAATCTTCTTAGGGCTTTTGGGAAGGCATCTTGTAGCCAGGACCTCAAGGATGCCTGAGGTTGATCTTGCAGGAGGTGTTAGATTTTAAAATGGGGAACAAGGAGAAAGGGGATGGACAGAGGTGCAAAGCCTGGGTTATGTATGTTTTGTGGGAGGATAGTCTGAATATCAAAGCCAATTTCAGTTAGCGGGGAAATGGAGACTTGAATCCCTACTTGCACTAGCCTCTTTGGCAGATTCATGTAGATTCTTTGAGAAAATTACCTTCTGAGGATGATAATACATATCACAGAGTTGATGCAAAGAACAGAAATAAATATGTAAAACACTGAGAACAGAGCCTCTATGTGGTTAGTGCCTGATAACTCGTAGCTGTTATTTTAAAAAAAAATTTGGAAAAGAAAGTTAGAGGTTTGAATGCAAAGTTAAGAAGATGGTGATAAAAATACCAACCTATATCTAATACTCTTATCTAACATTTTCAGCCTCCCAGTAATGCTGTTGACTAGTTCACTGGTGTTAAGAGATTCATTTACATCTTTTTTTCCATTGGTGATCAGTTTGTACTAGATTATCCCAGGCTGTTTTGCTCATTGTTCTTTTCTACCAGAAAACCATGATTTCAAGAAAGCCTGACCTACATGGGGCACTTGAACATATGTTGTTATTAAATTGATTAGAATGGGATCTAAACTCCTGGTTTTATTAACCAACCTAATACACAAAGCTAGCTAGACCAGAACCCATAGTTGTTAGAAAGGAGTAAATAAATATTTCTTGACAGCTCACAGGGCTGAAAATTATTATTCCCAAAGATATGTAGGTATAATAATTTGTAAGTCTGATCAGTATCAATTTTTGTTCAGTATTTAATACTTATAAACATTTTTTCTGGTATAAAAATATGTGTTTAGGGGTGCCTGGGTGGCTCAGTTGTTAAGTGACTGCCTTCGGCTCAGGTTGTGATCCCAGGGTCCTGGGATTGAGCCCCGCATCGGGCTCTCTGTTCAGTGGGAGGCCTGCTTCTCCCTCTCCCACTCCCCTTGCTTGTGTTCCCTCTTTCTGTGTCTCTCTCTGTCAAATAAATAAATAAATCTTAAAAAAAAATATGTATTTAGGTAGTAATGCTGAAATATAAATATATCTATAAAGAAGAAAATAAAAATCACTCCTAACCTCTTCAGCCAGATATTGGTGAAATTCTGATGTAATTCTTTTTCATTTTATTTATCATGCATATATATTTATATAGCAAAAATTTTCCCCATACATTGGAATCATAGCAAAATATTGCCCTATATTTTATTTTACTATTTCTATTTTAAGCATTTTATCTTGATGCTGAATATTTTTAGAAAGTATGATTTAAATGGCTGCATTTTATGTAATATTCCTCTATTTCAGCACATTTTGGTTTTCAGTTCTTCATTACTGTATATAATAATGCTGTTATAAACATACAAGTTCAAAAGTCTTTGAGCCTACCTCTGATTATTTATCTAGGATAAATTTCTATATGTGGAATTCCTCTGTCAAAGTAGATGAAAAACTATAAGCTCTTGATATATATTATCAAATTTCTCTCTGGAAAGTTTTTTGGTTTTCTTTTTTTAAACTAATGTCTTCCAATAGAAGTGGGAGGTATTTCCCTATATTTCTCCCCTTCATTTTTCCCATTAGGATGTTTATATTTTTATTATTGATTCATAAAAACTCTTTATATATAAAGGATGGCAATTCTTCAATTGACAAAATATCTTGGCATTTTCTGCTTTACCTAGTTTGTCATATGCCTTTTAAATTTTTTGTCATATGCTTTTTAATTATGTTCTTCTTTTTGATAAGTATAGTCACCATCTGTCAACATACAACATTATTACAGTATTATTGAGTATATTTCCTATGCTGTAGTTTTTATCTCCATGATTTATTTTGTAACTGGAAGTTTGTACCTTTTAATCCCCTTTATCTATTTTGCCTATCCCCCTACCCACTAGCTAGCTTTGTAAACGGTCTTTTTAAATATATCCTGTTTTGGGGGTGCCTGGGTGGCTCAGATGGTTAAGTGTCTGCCTTGGGCTCGGGTCATAATCTCCAGGTCCTGGGATTAGCCCCATGTTGGGCTCCCAGCTCGGTGGAGAGTCTGCTTCTCCCTCTCCTGTCTGCCTTGGGCTCGGGTCATAATCTCCAGGTCCTGGGATTAGCCCCATGTTGGGCTCCCAGCTCAGTGGAGAGTCTGCTTCTCCCTCTCCCTCTTCCTCTTCCCCTGCTTGTGCTCTCTCTCTCTCAAATGAATAAATACAAAATCTTAAAATAAAAAAATAAATAAATGCATCCTATTTTTATTTTACCAGAGATTATCTTTTCATTTTTGTGCCTATCAATGTAAATATGAAATGGTATGTAATGACACTCTTTGCAAATGCTGAGATATTTATTGAATTTTTATTTATTTCCTCCATAATTGCTCAGTTTTTTTTGAAATACCATGAGATCTGTAATCTAAGTGATTATAAGTAAATTGTTATTTTATAATTAACTTAACCTTAATATTACTTTTAATATTTGCTTCAAGTTTTATATCTTGCTTAACAACAATTATTTTTATTTAACACTAAGATTTGCTAGTTTTATTGAACATCATTTATATATTTTCCTCATTCTTGAGGTTCTAATACTGGTTGAGTTTTTCTCCCAGCTGGAGCACTTCTTGGCTTCCATTTTAGAAAGATCCTGTGTGAACACCTTCTGGATCCTTAGATATATAGAAGTATTTTTTTATTGCTTTTTTATATAAGAGTTAACTATTCAAAATTCACATAGTATTTTGGTTGGTTGTTTTTCTGTTAGTCAGTTTCCCTCCTTTTCTTTCTCTCTCTCTGTAGGTAGTTTAAGTAGGCAATTCAGAAAATGATATCAAGGGATAACTGGTTCAATGACATTTTTAACCAAGAGACTATAAACCATTATTCAGAAAGGGAAATTGAATGAAGAAATCAATGTACTTCTCCCAGAATGCATAGGCATTCAGTGTGGGATAGAACCAGCTCTCAAGAGCAATGAAAATTATGGATCATGAGGGCTCTGTTCTGCCTTGCTCTCTCTTAACTAATTAGTTGCTTGTTTGGGCCATGTTCATTATAAGTCAAATCACTACAGATAGTCTGAAACGGGAAGTAAAAGGAAATGGAATTGAACTATGACATTTGCTTTCTACTAGTCTAAAAGCCTACGAGTACCAGGGATGCTAAAACTAAGAGCTGAAAAGTTAATTCTATATATATTATCCTCGGAACCTTGTAGCACATACAAATTAATTGTGCACTTGCCCACTTTTTCTCTTTGTAAGAAAGGTTTATGTGTATTAATAATTTCACCCTGAAAATATGTGGCACAAACATACCTCCTGTCAATTTTTTTTCTTATTTACATGTCTGCTTGTTTTTGTCTATTTATTTTGAGTAGTATCATTGGGTGCTGGTGGCTGGTCACCCTAATATCAGATATTTCAAAGAATCAAGGAGAGAGCAAGTAGAGAAGTTGAACATTGCAGAGCCACCTGCTGGAACACAATTGCCGAAGGGAAAGGAGTCATATAGTGGGGCAGGCTCACCTAGGATCTGATTATGATGTCATAAGAGCTACCATTCATTAATTCAAACATTAATTGCCTGCTGTCAGCAGTAGTTGAGCAAAAACAGATTTGTTTCTAAAATGTACCTTCTTCCAGTTTTTTTTTTTTTGCTAGATTTTCCATAGAAAATTGTTCTGACTCAGTTGTCAAATGAATTTTTCTTGCTCAGATAATATTTTATGCCCTTCTGTAGCAAACCAGAATTTAACACCTTCAGTTTTTATCAGTTACTTTTAACTTGTGGATATTTTGAATGTTGAAAGTTTGCCACAGATACAGTGGGGATTCTGTCAGGGGACCTTGAATTATTTAACCTGATACCTGAGTATGAATGAAAATTCTCTTCCCCCTCACTTTTCTCTCTGTGTAGTGAGTATAGTCATCTTTTTACTCTCCTGTATTAGTGGTTAAGGAAACCACCATTTGTCAAATGGGTAACTCTTCCACAATAGGACTTTAGACTTTATACACTTTCTGTATTTTACACAGGCCTGGATTACAGATGATGGAATATGTACAAGTCAGGTTCATTGGCAGATATGGGGAATCATACCCATTGTGCATAGTTTCATTTAGTTAACAGATACTCCATTCATATCTGCTATGTGCCAGGTGCTGTACCAAGCACTGGAATTCACTGATGGAGATGACATTTGACCTCTGTCCTCAGGGCACTATGGGAGGATGAGAGGAAGTCTGGGTGAACATTCCAGGGGGCCTTCTGTGACCCTGTAGTCTACTGAGAATGCCAAGGGCATTCTTTTACTCTTTAGTTGTACCTTTCTGTAGAAGTCAGAAGACAGATTATACTCTATATGTGCATAATTAAGTTATTTTGCAAAGAAATCTTTCCTTACTTTTCATTGTAAAGTATAAATGTATCCTACTGGGAAGCAGAATGTCCAGAAATATAGAATGGCAAACATTTAAAATTTAAATCAGTCCTCGTCCATCCTGATTGCACGTTAGAATCATCCAGAGGGCATTTAAAATATCCTATCCTCACCCCTCTCCCTCCAGAATATGATTTAATGTGTCATGGGTGAGGCCAGGGCATTGAATTGGATGGGTTGGATGGATGAATCAATGAAAAGATTAATGAAAACTTCATAATATATTAAGGAGGACATTTGAGCCAGGCAAATGTAGGGGCAGGAAAAGCAAAATGAAGCCAGAGATCAAAGACATCCACAAAATACAATGCTGGAAAGCCCCCACGAACATGTGAACTGGATCAGATTTGGGCTTTGTGCTCTTACACAGCTAAAACAAAGAGAAGCATAACCACCCGGGTGCCCATTAGATTACAAACTTGTTGTCTATGAAGACTAGCTTTTTCAGGAGCAAGACTAACCAAGGAAAATAAAGAGGACCCTTGATAGTGAAGTGTGGGATATTTTTAACACATCTAGAGAAAAAAAAAATTCAGTAATTTTTTTTATAATGGATGGCACAATCTGGAAGGCCTTTTGAATCAGTTGGATGTTAAATGGGGGGAGTCTCTCCCATGAGGGAGGATGGGTTTCTGTTAGGTGTGTGTTATTCCTACAACCCAGTGCCACTTCATTGCCTCCAAGGCCCTGCAAGATCTCAACTCTGCATGTCCTTGGTCGTTTGACCACATCATCTGTCACTAACCTCTTCTAAATCTGCGTGAGCCATATCAACTAACTCAGTATCCCAAGCTCATTCCTACCTCGTGGCCTTGACATTTTTTATTCCTCTGCCTGGAATGCGATTTTCCCTGATTATTTTATGGCCAGCAATTCATCATTAAGAATTTGTCAGGTAGCACTTTCTTTACCTCCTGATCTACTGCCACCTCCCTCCCTTATGCTGATCCTGTTCCATCATATTACTTTGCTTTACTTTTGCTTTACCTTTTTCACCACCTGAAATTAACTTTGTGACTTGTTTACTTAATTATGGTCTTTTCTGTTCCATTAAGTCTTGCTTGCTGCTACATTCCCAGCGCCTAAAATGGTACTTGATACTGTTGCTGCTCAATAAATATTAGTTGAATGAATGAACCAATCTTTTCACGAATACTTGACCGTATGCAATTACACTATGTTTTTGATGAAACACAGAGCGAGACCCTTTCACAGTAAACAGAATTGAAAATAAGGCTGACATCCTCTCATTAAAGAGGAAGATGTAGACCAGGGTACCTGCCCAAACTAAAGGCTACCTCTAATCTTATGGACAGTTTGAAGACCGTGCTTTTTGTAAGGCCTAATTACCCTCTTCCTACTTTTAAATTCACAAACAGTGGCCCTGAAACTGTGGCGATTATTTTTTCCTTTCTGTTTTGTAATCAATTGTTTATGTTTAAACTCCAGAGCCTAAGCAAATCTCCATGAAACTCCAATTTTAACTGTGGCTGTGGGAGGGTTTTGTAATGTCCCCGAGCCTTGACTTCACACTCATAAGATAGGGTTATAATAATAGTAGCTACCGCCTAAGGCTGTTTTGAGAACGAAAGGAAGTAATCCTTGAAAAGCACTTAGCATAATACCTGGCATAGAAGATACACTCAAGACAAGCTATTGATGATAGATATTGAAAATGCCAATTGTTATATTGGTTTATTAGTTATTATTATTATTATTACTTTGTCCCTGCCCCTTCTTCTTACCCACTATTTTCAGAAATGTCATCACCATGAACCGATTTTATTGGTTTCCTGAATATACACACTAATCTGACTTGAATTAACCAAAAATAGACCCCAAGCACTCAGTGCAAATATTTGTTTTTGTTTAAAGAGGCAGTTCTCCTAATAGTGTGACCTCTTTTCATCTTTTCTGTGCCTTTCCTGACTTGCCATGGGCCCAGAGGAGAAGGCCAAGAAGGAAGCAGAGGAAAAAGCTCGCCTGGCTGCAGAGGAGAAGCAAAAGGAAATGGAAGCCAAAAGCCAGGCTGAAGAAGCCGCGGCTTGCAAAGCCGAGAAAAAGTCATCTGGGGAAGCTAAGAATCAAGCCAATGGAACGCGCACAAACAAAAGCGACAACCCTTGTGGGAAAAATTCCAAAGCTGAGAAGTCCTCAGGAGAAAAACAACAGAATGGTGAGTACAGTTTCACTGGTGAGAGGCTCTTTTTGGGGTGTTAATGACGCGATGAATGGAAACTGGCAAACAACCACACCTGTGAGGATGGCTCTCAGAGCCGGTGTTTCTGGTCTCCCCAGCTGCTGCTCATCACACCTCACTGGGCCATGGGTTCCATTAGGATCCCATCAAAAGAAGCCAGAGTCTGGCTTAGGCCATTCTCTCTGGGGAGATTTATACTTTTCAGGCCTTTCCCAGCTGTTCTGGAGACTCTGGCCAGTGCCTGCCTGTCCACTGGGGAAATAACAATGACCAATCTCAGCACATTCCTGAGTGTTTATTGCCCAGATGGGTGGATGGAAAGTGTCTTCCATATGCACTGTCCCTCTAGCAGGCAGGGCTGGGGCTCAGGTCTGTATGTCTGTAAGTGAAAAGTATATACGTTAGGGTAACCACCTATCCCATTTGCCTGGGACTGAGGGGTTTCCTGGCATCTAGAGCTTTAGATTTTTTTTTAAATTATTTATTTACTTAGTTGACAGAGAGAGATAGCACGAGAGGGAACACAAGCAGGGGAGTGGGAGAGGGAGAAGCAGCCTTCCCGCCGAGCAGGGAGCCCGATGCGGGGCTCGATCCCAGGACCCCGGGATCATGATCTGAGCCGAAGGCAGATGCTTGATGACTAAGCCACCCAGGCGCCCCTAGAGCTTCAGATTTTTAAAACCAGAAAAGTACCAGGCAAACCCAGATGATCTGGTCACCACCTTAAATGCACTGTGCTTGGCACTGAGAATTTAGAAATAGAAAGGCCACAGGAAGTCCACAATCTCATAGAGACATGGGCATCCTTAGAAATAATTCTGAGCAAGTAACAGTCATGGCAAGGCAGCTAAATTTAGCTCAAGGATCATGTCAAAAAAGAGACATTAGCTTTGTTGCATCTGGGGCTCGTGGAATGGAGAAATGTCAAAGAAAGCGTCAGCAGGTGGTGGCACCTGAGCTGTGTTTTCAACGCTGAACTTCGCTGCTCGGATGGGGAATAGGGACTTCTTCACCAGAGGAACAAGACAAGCTGAGGCATGAGGGCATGGAATTCCCTTGTTTAGGGAAGAGCAGTAAGTTCAGAGTCTCTAGAACTTTCAAGTTGTGGCAAAGTAGTTTTGCAGTCTGACAGACCTGGATTCAAGTCACAGCTGTGCCTCTCACTTCTTGGTGGCCTTGGCCAGGTTACTTAATCTTCTGCTGGCTCTGTAAAGTGTGCATAATAATAATACCTGCTCACAGCAGGGCCACTTGTGAGCCTCAATAATGAGAATGATAGCAAAACAATGATGACAGTAGAATAACTAGCATTTATTGACTATCCACCAGATGCTCTTTTAGGTCCTCTCCTTACGTGTTTATTCTCTTATCCACCTGGTAGGCCATGCTGTAGCTATTATGTATGCTACATAGCCTGAGTAAATGAGGAATGTATAAAAGGTGCTTAGCACAACACTCTCCAGTTATTTTTACAGTGAACATATACAACACGTAGAATCAGAAAACAATATTTTAATACATATGATAATGTTAATAACTCATATCATGTTCCAAGAGCTTTGCATGAATTCCCTCAGGTAACCCCCATAAGCACCCTAGGAGGTAGAGAAGGCCTTTGTCCACCTTGTCCAGCCCCTCAGCAGCCTGGTTCTGGAGACTGCTCCTAACTAGTTAGCTTTGTATTCAAGTGCATCATTGTCCAGAAAATATGTTCAATTGTATAAGAATTTATGATATACCTGTTGGAGTTTTTAGAGGGCAGTGCAAAAGACCTCCTCTTATCCCCTCCCGAGGTCAGCACCAACTAAGAGAGAGATACCAGAATCAGAAAGTCAATGGTCAGAATATGAGCTCTACTACAACTGGAGTTGAATTGGAAAACGTGACTTGGTCTGCTGAGCACGTGGGCTTCCTCACACATCTGCCTTGAAGTGAGCTCAGCCAACCAGGTACTGGCAGAGCAGGCAGGCCTTGGACTTGTCACCTCATTCCCACCCCAGCACCCCAACACCCCAGGAGACTGCTTCTGGAGTGATGCAAAAGGTGTGTGTTTTGTGGAAAACACATCTCAGAGGGGTTGGGAACTAGAAAAATGGGTGGCTCAACTGAGCTTTGCATTCTCAAACTCCTCCTAGATGAGTCTCTTCTTCTCAAAGGAGGAGTATGGAAGGGCTCCTGAGAGAGGCAAGATGTGTTTCTTTCTGCTTTTTTCTTTTAGGAAATTGGGTTAAAAATGGCTTTCCCTTAATAAAAGTAACATCAATAATATATATTGAATGCTTAATATATGCCAGACATTGTACATGAGATTTTAACTACATTAAATCATTTTTAAAAATGCTAACAACTCTGTGAGGTAGATACACTCATTCCCATTTTGCAGATGAGGAAACGGAGACTCAGAAAGGTCACATCACTTGCTTAAGGTCAAGCAACCACGAAGTAGAGATTTCAAGTCAAATTCATGTCTGAGTCCAAATTCTATGTTTCATAATCAGCACGTCCCTACTGTTTACAAGTTTTGGCACTATTGGGGAGAGTAGGAAATCAGAGGAATATTGAGGCTCAGCCAAGGTCCACAAGAACCTTATGATCTATTCCAGGGGTTGGTGCATTTTTCTGTAAAGGGCCAGATGGTAAATACTGTAGACTTTGGGAGCCATGCAGTCTCTATTGCAACTGCTTTTAACACTCCTGTTTTAGTGCAAAAGCAGCCACAGATAACATATAAACAAATGGGCATGGCTGAATTCCAATAAAACTTTATTTATAAAAATTCAAGTTTAAATTCTATATAATTTTCAAATGTCATTAAATATTCTTCTCTTTTTTCAACCATTTAATAATATAAAAACTATTCTTAGTTTGTGGGCCATATAAGACCAGGCACTGGGACCAAGTTTGGCCCATGGGCCATAGTTTGCCAACCCCTGGTCTGGTCAAGGAGAGAAACCAATGAACATAAACATGCTGGTCATAGAGAAGGTTATAAATTCTATGAGATGGGTATAAACAAATACCCAGAGAGGGCAGAGGTGGCAGGAATCAATTTTGAAGACCATTAGAGGGAGAGCCTGAAAGAAACAAACAGGAGCTCAAGTTTTCAACTAGGCTGTGTTTATTTCCCAAAGTAATCAACAGTCTACCATTTCCCTTAAAAACTAAGTATTAAATGAGCGATGGGAAAAGAAGTCAGTTTTAAGCAGTAATAAGAAAGGCTAATGGTGGTTCGGGACTGTGTTACAGCAGCCTAATTAAAATGATTTATAACTGTGCAGAAAGGCTCTTTTGTTTCCCCTGTTTATTGAATAACAGCTCACATCAGCCATTACTCCATATACAACCCATGGGAAATTACCTAATGGATTCTGTTCAAGGAACATCATCAAACAAACATGTGTCACTTTCCCATCATCCTTTTTGTGGTTGCCCAAGGTACTTCCAGGATGGAACCAGAGAACAGTGGTTAATGGGGTTCTAGAGGTGTTCTCATCAGCAACTATGAGATCCCCAGGCTTTGGTCTCCATCAAGGTACTTCCTCTCTCAGCCTCCCCAACCCTGATTGAAGAAAAGGCAGGCTGCCCACAGACTGCTGTCTAGCATCCAGCAAATTGAACCTCTCCTGTGACTTCTGGAAGACATCCTGGTCTTGCTGCAGCTGTGCATAAAGCTCTAGTCCAGGGAAATCTTGAAGGCATAAAGTATTGTGCATTAAGGTGTGAAGGCTCATTTAGGAAAGAAAGACATTTTTTCTGCAGGGAATGAGTTTGACTACAGGGCTCAAGATCCTTGAGTCCATCTCTGGCATCCTTAAAACAAGAAGGAGCCAGTATTTGGACTGTCTCATGGGACCTCCAAAGGAATCCTCTCTTTGGCCATTGGTGGTGGTAAAGGGTGATGATCATGTCCTTCACTTGAATTCCTCCTGCTTACACCCTGGCTAGAGTTGACCCCTTTTCCCCCTCAATCCCTTCAACCAGTTCATCCCATTTCAGAATTAAGAGTAAGAGGAAACTTGGAGAATTTATTGACTCCAAACTTAGCTTGGGATTTGTCAAATTCCATTGAAAATACTTACTTTGTCGAATACATCACTACCCCAAATGGTCTTGAATTGTCCTTAGATAACCATTTCTTTATAAATCTGTAGGCCAAAGGCATTTAGAAATGGCAGCAGTAAACAGAAGCCTGAAATTGAAACCTTAAGCTTCATAGGGAAGTTGGCAATGTACAGTGGTCGAGAGCTTAGCTTCTAGAATCAGACCCATCTGTGCATATTGTGATAGACTGCTTTATTTATGCCTTAGGTTCCATAGCCATAAAATGGAGATGGTAGTATGAGTTTCATGTCCATTCTTCACAAGTCATTTGAAACAAAATCACTTTGTGGAAAGATCAGTTGGCCATCTATGCAAAAATTGTCAGACGAATGGCTTAAACCAGATCAACGGCTGCCAACAGAAGCAGTTTTGCTGCTGGAAGCACACGTGAAAGGTTGCGGGCAGAGGCAGGGCCGGGGTGGTGTGTGAACCACTGGCAGGTGGCCGGTGTGCTGCATTCAACACAGCTGGACGGACCAGCGTGTGACACAGTGCTGCAGTGAAGCCAAAGGAAAACTCACGCTTGGAAAACATCCTCAGTCATTTGATGAGTTTGTTATTCTGCAAATTGATCACTCAGTGAATTAAACTGTGACGAATTCGTGTACTTTCAATCGGAGTACCTTCATAATGGCATTGTTAGAAGAATTTAATGAATGATGCCTACGCTATGCCTGGCACAAAGAAAGTAAAAAAGATAGGACCCTGCTTACTCCTTCCTGGTTGCAATTATTCTTAGGGTCTTCTTGCTTCAAGAAGTACCAGTATTTTAGTTGTAATATATTCTGGGTTCTATGCAACCTAAAAAAAAAAAAAGATGCCATTAGTAAGACTGTAAGAAAGATTTCCAAAACTTGAGAATAAGGCTGGGGGAGTGGATGCCATGTCTTTTCAATGTCACAGTGGCATACTCTTAAAAAGACATGGCCAGGGATTATTTGATTATCTTAGACAGGGGTCAGCAAGCTTTTTCTGTGCCAGCCCAGCCAGTAACTATTCCTGGTTTTGCGGGTCTCTGTTGCAACCATGAAGCGCCTACCACCGCAGCATGAAAGCGGCCATAGACAGCATGCAAACGAAATGCATATGACTATTTCCAAAGATCGCTGTTTCCACATTGGCCCCTGAGCTACAGGTGGATGACTCCTGCTTTAGGAGAACATGACTGTGTTTAACTTTGTCTTTTACTATTGACTCAAGCCTAGGCCCCGTGAAGTTGTATGCTAACTTACAGATTTTTGACTGTTAGAAGAGATTACCCCCCTACCCACAGGTTATGATTTTATTGCCCTGTAGGACATAACCAGTTTTGTTTCTAACACAGCAATCTTATTTTAACAGTTTTCTAAAATGCCTATAAATGCCCATTTCCTTAAATGTCCTTGGCACCCTCCTTACGATCTCTCTGGTTCCTTCGTGAATGAATTAAGTAAGTTTTTGACACGTGTTTATTCTACATCTGTTTGCATAGTGTTTTTTAACATTTACAAATCATATTTCGATAAGCTTGTTACTTAGAATACCATTTATAACTCCGTTTTAGAGTTCAGTTGTCATTGCGTGATGTGCCAGATATCAGATTCACTACCTTAAATACATTTGTCCTTATATTATGTCTATAAAGTAGCTATTATTATCACCATTTTGCAGATGAGGAAACTGAAGCATATAGAAGTTAAGTAGCTATGAGCTGGCATAATTTACATTTGACCTAAGTTTTTCTGCTCTCTACAGCCCAAATAATAAAGCTGAACTGCCTTTCTTGGAAAATAAACATTATTGGCTTAAGTGCAACTTTGTTTAACAGGAACTTTGTCTTAATTTCTGGATTGTAATCTAACTTTTAAGACCTAATATACGGCTTAAAAAGATACATTCAGATATGTACCCCCTCATGACTAAAATTATGCACTTTTTTTTCCATCTTTTTACCTTGACGAGTTTAAGACTATTTATAACTTCCCTTTTAGCTGTATACATATGCTGTTTGTCATGTTTATTACTTTCAGGTGACTTGAAAGATGGTAAAAATAAGACAGACAGGAAGGATCAATCTAATGTCGGAAGTGATTCAAAGAAAACAGATGGTAAGAGCATAATTCCCATTATATTTTTCCATAAAATGCGTGATCTAATGCAGGTTTGTTAGAATTACACCTCAAATTGAAATTGTGGTTGTTAATATATTCTTATATTATACCCTAAAAAAACCCTTCACTGCATTTAAGGAGTACTCGATCCCTATTTCAATAATTTACAGATTATCATTGTATCTCTTCCCCTCCACCATCCTTTGCTCCATCACAAATGCATTCTATACACTCTCTCTTTACCAATTGCCATTTTTTCATTTTCACTTTAAAGTTGCCTCTGGACTTGCTGATTGGAATGGGATGGAATATGAGTCTTTGGTTGTGAATTGTGCAGCATAAATGGGAAATGCTCCATGTTTTCAGTTTTCACATTTTCTCTTTTAATGAGGAATTATTGCTTTCAATAAGAACAGAACTCTGCTCAGTGTTATCACTATGTTGGGAGACCCACATATTGGAGAACATCCATAGTTATAAGAATGCAGTTTGGTCAGCAAGAATAAGTCTCAAAGGCAAGTTTTGAAAGGCAATCCCCACCAGACCAGTTAGACTGAACCTACCTTGTGATGTGCTCCATGAACACTGCTTTTACTTTTCACAAAGAGCATTCTACTCTCTCTAAAACCTGAAAGTTCAGATTATATTATCCTTTAGACTTTGTACTATCCTACTGAGAAAACTGTTCTCGCCTTTTATATAAATCTCCTGTTTCACTTGTAACCTGGGCTTATTCTTAGCGACTCCTTCATACATGTACATGATATTAAACTGAAAATGCACGTTTCTAGGTAGTGGTTTGTGCTAAGAGTCCCAGACACTCTTTGATTCATACCTCCCTGGAGACTTTGTATTGGATGCTCAGCTGTTCTTTGATAGTTTGGTTTTAATGTCACTGAAGAACAAATACTGAATATCCAGATTGAGGAGTAAGAAGAAATTTGAACACAACTCCTCCTATTAAAAAGGAAGCAGCGCCTCTAGCTTTCATCTCTAAGCCACTGTGACAGGCTTTCTTTATTCATATGTGTGAAATCAGTTCTCAAGCCTTTTCCTCTAAGCTCATTCAATAATTCACTCCAGGTGTCTTATCACATAATACCTAGGGAACACCCATGTGCAGTTTTTCGCCAAATTGTTTACGCAAATGGAAACCACATACCTACTAAAAATACCCTCCTTGAATGATTGTGACTAAGACATGAATTACACAGAGACAAAACAGAATTCAAAATGACAGTCATCCTAGCCAGACTCTGTTATGGGTAATTGTTGCCAGATATCATTAAACCCAAGTCAAGTTAACACAAGCCAGAAAATGTACAGTAGAGGAAAATAGTGTTAGATATAAACCCAGCACCAGGACACCTGGCCCAACCTGCATTCAGTGACTAGCCCATCTGAGTTCCTACAGCATAAAAGTGCAGAATAAACTAAGTCCCAAATCTTTAACATTGGCTCTTGTTGCATTTTTATATTGTGCTGCAAATATCTGTTATGTTCTTGTCATGTGGGAATTGTGAATTACATTTTATTACCTTCATTAAGCCCTTTTATTTTACCTGTGCCCTTTATAATTGAATTGTCCCAAATATTTAAAATAATTAACAGCTTTTTTAAAAGCAGGGTGTGGGAAGGGGTGAAGAGATACTATGTTCTATTGAACAAATAAATGTAAAGCTTCATTGTTTGGTGAACAAGATTCTTGATCCCATCGGACAGTGAACAGGGTGCAGTAAATAAGGAAGAGACATTTTCTGATGTCTATTCCTTTTCCCCTCCAAAACTCTAACTTTCCACTGATTCAAATGGGTCTGGTGTGTTTATACTAGCAAGTTTATACACAAACTCGCACATGAACAACTTTGTATTTTAATTTCATTGATGGGGTAACATGACATCAGTCATTCTCACTGCTTTGATATCATAATGACATAGATCACTGGGCTTTAGTTACTTGTGCTATCTTAGCCAAAAATCTTTTCCAGGACTAAAGCTATTCTTGGTGGCATGAAGTGGAAAAGATTTCGATCAGTCTCATTTATCTCTTCACCTTTGGTCATCAAGACTCACTACTTTAGGAAAAATTTTAAATAATACATGGATCAGTGGGTACATTGATTTTTAAAAGCTGTCTAGTAACAACCACATACATTTTGAACATTTCTTTTTAATAGATCCTATTACATTTGATGACCAGAGGGAGTCAAACTATTATTAATGCCTCTACCCCTAATACAGCCCCTGGGAACCAGTAGTGACCAGTTCTAATTTTTGAGGAGTATCCAAGCACGATTCAGTGCCCAGTTGACCAAACCCAGTATGGTTTGAAGTTGCAACATTGTATGCATTCAGAAAGAAACCTGATGGAAACAGGACCACAGTTGGTTATTCCCAAACTCCATTGAGCTGAGGCACACACAGAAGGAAGGGGTATGTGCCAAAAGCATAAATTGTATCCTGGCATAGTGAACACATTGCAGTTGTACATTATCTCTGTCAGGCTACTGAGGTACTACTTAGTATCCTGCAGCACTAATTTTTGAACTGACTTCAAAGAATGAATGTCCTTTGAAACTACCTTGTTTACTCTTAGGGAGAAATGTACTAATAAAAAAAGATCAAGGCCTCTGAGCCAAGATTCTCTCAGGGCCTAAACTTTTACAGTGTCACTGGGAGACTTGTGGGGTGCCAGTGAATGAATTATTTTCTGTGTGTTTTTAGCCATGTTTGAAACAGCATAGCCTCTTGGACCTGTCATAATTTTTTATAATTGCCCAGAAACATGAATTTGCCTTTAATTTTATTTGACTACAGAGATATAAGAGATAGCAACCATTTGTGTCTCTCAAAAGATTGATTATAATTAGGCCCTACAGAGTTATTTGCCAAGTTTCAGAGAGGGAGTTAAGCAGGCATTTCTCCTTCACTGAATGTTCTGGGAATTGGAATGTTTAAAGGTGTTTATGAAATTGAAAAGTCAACTATGTAGAGTGAAAAGAGTAGACAAAAGACTATTTATGGACCTCTGCTTCTGCCAAAGAGGACTAATAAGAATTAGTTTCACCCTTTCACCTGAAACCATAATAATCATAATAAAAGACAACTTATGTGGAAGAACAGTTTCCAAGATACTGGACATCAAGATATGAAGGACAGTGATCTCCAAGAAACAGGAAACAAATGAAATAAATCCTTTGATCGCTCCAGCTTACTCCCTTGAGAGGGTTTCCAGGCAGCATAATGAAGGGGAACCCAGGCAGACCTGATGGACTCCTTGAGTTGAAGAGTTGGATAAGGATCCAGGGAGAGCCATGGTGGCTAAAGTTAACAAGATAAAGTACCAGAGAGGAGAGAGCTGTAGAGATATAGAACTCCAGAGATCTAAAAAGTAGCCATTCATCAGAGTACTGATTGACCCATACAGATAGGAAACTACCTGAGATCAGGAAAGAACCATTCAAGAGGTTTAGGGGGAATGGTCCTAATGTTCACACTTCATATAAGGCAAGAAAAGTGCTTATTCCCACTAACCAGACTTGAATACCTCATAATTTAAAGGGAATTGGGTAGAATTCACCTAATTGTCTTATTTTATTAGTGGGGGAGTAAATAGCTGTAGGCTAAATGCTGCTTTGGTCTCACCTAATAACCCTTGAAAACAAGACATAAAAGGATCCCCAAGTGTTTCCAAATAACTGCACCCCAGAGTAAAGTTCATAGGTATATATAGAAATACAAAAGTATCCAGTACGCAACAAGGTAAAATTCACAGTGTCCAATATCCAATCAAAAATTACTGGATGTGCAAAGAAGCAAGAAAATACTACGCATAATAAGAGAGAGAGAGAACAGAAACCGAAGTTAGAATGGCAGACAAGAACATTAAAATGTTCTTATAACTATAGCCCATATGTGTGGAAGTTGATTAAAGACATGGGAGATATAAAGAAGGGAAAATCAAACTTCTAGAGATGAACACTACTCTGATGTGTAAAACACACTGAATGGTATTAGCTAAATAACATTGGATGAGATTAATAATAAGTACAGTGGATGAGATTAGACATTGTAGAAGAAAAGAGTAGTGAAAAACTCTCCAAAGTGAAACAGAAAAAAAAAATTATAAAGAGCATCAGTGAATTGTAGGATATCTTCAACAGCCTAATGTATGTGTAACTGGAGTCCCTAACATAAGAGAGAGAGGAGGAAAGAAAAATATTTGATGAAGTAATTTACTTGGGCAAAGTAAATTTTGCCCAATGATGAAAAGTATAAGTGCACAGACTCAAGAAGCTCAGTAAAGCCCAAGCACAAGAAATTTGAAGAAAATTACACCAAAACATGTCATAATCACATTATTCAAACCAGTAATGAGAAAATTTAAAAATATAGAGAGGAATAAAAAACTCATGTGCAACTGAACAAAGCTAAGGATAATTGTAGATTTCTTATCAGAAACAATGCAAGTAAGAAGACTGTGGAACAACATCTTTAACATGCTGAATGAAAAAAGAATTCGATTAAGAATTCCATACCCAGCAAAAATATCTTCAGATATAAAAGCTGAAAGAATTCATCACTGGTAGACCCCACACTACAAGAAATGTTAATGAAAGACAGTAGGATAACTATGCCAGTTGGAAATATGGACCTGCACAGAAGAATGAGGCACATGAAAAATGGTAACTAGATGGATAAATATACAAGATTTTTTCTTATCATTTAAATCTCTTAAAGACCGTTGACTATTTGAACAAAATAATAATAATACATCATCTGATTTATAAGATATACAACTGAGGGGCACTGTGTGGTGCATTCGGTTAGGTGGCTGACTCTTGGTTTCAGCTCAGGTAGTAATCTCAGGGTCATGAGATCAAGTCCCATGTCGGGCTCCATGCTCAGCGTGGAGTCTGCTTGAGATTCTTTCTCCCTCTCCCTCTGCCCCTCCTGTGTATTCCCTCTCTCTCAAATACATAAATAAATAAATCTTA